CTCACACGTGGACGTCACGGGGGTGAGATGCTGGGAAGAAATTGCACTGAGAGCTTGGACTGAGTAGCCTGTCACGTCCCCAGGGGGTGTGGGGGATGATGTCGGGGAGTCAGTGTGCCAGCTGAGCTCTGAGCAGCCGTTGGAGTGAACTAGCAAGGGGAGTAACACGCGTGCTCCCAGACCTGCCCCCCAAAAGGAGCCTGGGGCACTCAGGGGGCGGGGCTGAGGCCAAGGGAGGGTTTGCTGTGGGGTGAACAGGAAAGGCAGGCAGGGCCTGGGACGCTGAATCTCATGGGTCAACTTGACTGGGCTGTGGTGCCCACGTGTTGCCCAGAAGGTATTTTGTGGATGCAGTTAAATAAAGGAGATTACTCAGAATAATGAGGATGTAGACCTCATATAATCAGTAGAAGGTCTTAAAAACAAAAAAACTAGAGTTTTCTGTAGAAGGGGGGAATTCTGCCTTAAGATCGTAACAGAAGTCCTACTTGAGTTTCCAACCTGCTGTCCCTTCCTTAAAGTAAATTCTCTCTTGGGGCGCCTGGTGGCTCAGTCGGTTGGGTGGCCAACTCTCGGTTTTGGCTCAGGTCATGATCTCAGGGTCCTGGGATTGAGCCCCATGTCAGTCTCCACATTCAGTGGGGAGTCTGCTTGAGAATTCTCTCCCTCTGCCCCTCTCCACATGCATGTGGGCACTCTCTCTCTCTCTCTTTCTTTCTTTCTCTCTCTCAAGTCTTTTTAAAAAAATTTTAAAAACAAATTCTCTCTTCCTCCGTATATATATTTATATGTGTGTGTGTGTGTGTGTGTGTCTCTCTCTCCAATTGGTCTGTTTCTCTAGAGAACCCTGACTAATCTAGGATGGGCCACAGAGCTTGGAGGGATTTGGGCAGGATTCAGGTAGTCCTTCTCTAGCAAGCAGTGGAAGCCAAGGAAGGATTTTAAGCAGGGAGCAAGGCTGATCCAGTCAGCATCGGCAGAGCACCGATCAAAGCCAGGTTGGAACCCAGGGAACTGGCACGGCAGGCCCAGAGGTTCCAGAAGCATCTGTGTCACGTTGCCCATCCTCCAGCCAACCCCCACCTCGCCGGAAGCTCCCTGTGTCAGATGAGCATGCTGTCAGCCTCCCTGAACTCCAGTGGTCATTTTATGTGTTCATTCAACTGTTCAGCAAATCTATATCATCTATAATCATCTATAGAGCATGGCCTGCCTTACGGATGGACGTGGGCAAGGCACAGGGCATTCTGTGAAACCACTGTAGGTTTTGTTTGTTTAATCCAGGGCCCTATGAACAGCCCTTCTCTTCATTTGTTCATTCATTCATTCAGCAAATATTTGAGGTCCTACTGTGCGCTAAGCCCTCCACTGTGCTCTGGGGACGCAACAGGAAACAGAAGTGGCCCCAGATCCCTGCTGCATGCAGCTTCTGTTCTAGGGGAGGTGAGAGAGTAAGTTCTGTGGTAGAGCGAATCCTCTCAGGACAGAGATGGCCAAAGGCGAAAACAAGGAGCTCCAGGCGGAGAGCTGAAATAGCATGGTTTGACTTCTTGGGCCGTGCAGCCCAGCAGACCTGATTTCTCCCTCTCTGAGCCTCAGTGTTCTTGTCAGCAAAATGGACCAAACAGCCAGCAAGATCCTCTTGAGAGGATTGGATAACAGACCAGAGTCGCTGGATCCCATAGTACTAGACTTCTGTGTTGTTATTTTCCTTGTCACTATGTCTCCTTGTCTGTGAGGTTAAGTAACTTGCTTCAGATGTGCTTGTCATGGGCCCTTCTGTAAACACCCCAGCAGGGAGACTTAGGGTTGTGGTATCTTATTCTGGGTTTCATCTTAGATGTCTCAAGTTTGCTAAGTAGTTGTAGCAAACAAACGAGAGTGAGAGAATGAGCAGCATGGGAGAGGGTGAGCGGTCTCTGCCAGCCCGAGGCTAGACCCCTTCAAGTGGCTCCCTCATGGCTAATTAGCCTCCCTCCAGCAGAGACGCTCCCTGGCGCAGTGCCTCCGCACCAGCCCTGCTCATTCATCCAGCTCCCTCCCTCCCTCCATGCCACACTGTCCACAAAACACTCCCTGAGGGCAGGTGGCCCAGCATGACCCCAGAATCCCACCACACCCACAGAACCTCCCTGCCCAGTGGAGAAGGCTGGAAGCTCTTCACACGCCTGCTCCTTGCCCCCACTGTTGAGCCACAGGGCCAGTGTCCACACAGAATGTGAATGCCCGGCCACCCGTCCTTCAGGGCAGAGCAGAAGGGTGAACGCAGGGTAAGCTCTCCTGTGACACCAGCCCCCCCTGCACCCATCTGCGGTCACTCACTGCACTTGGAATAAACCCACCTCCGAGGCTTCAGGGTGATCTGCCCATCTCCCTTAGCCCACCAGACCGGCCTCCCCGGCCTTCTTTCTCTGCCTCAACAACACCCAAGCTCAGGGCCCTCCACAGGCCTCACTCTTGCCCGACTGTCCCTCCTCCCCTGCTCTTGCCATCCCCAGCATCCCCGCCTCAGCTGCGACTCCATCCCAGAACTTTGCTCCTTTCCTTCAAAGTCCGCATCACAGTTTGTAATTTATGTCACTTTCTGTGTATGTCCTCTCTCTCTCCCCCGCCACTTTCCCTCTTCCCCTCTCTCCCACTCCCTCCCCCTTCCTCTCCACATTAGATTTTTAAATGCCAGAAAGTAGGCATCACGCCTGTCTTCACCAGGATATACACTACCTGGCACACTGCAGTTGCCCAATAAACATTTCTGCCTGAACAAATGAATGCATCAGTGAACACATTTCTCTTAGCTCCTCTGCCTGAGGGCATGATCTAAGTGTATGTGGCTGAATTTTAGGCCAGATGATCAAGCTCCCTGAAGGCAGAAATGGACTCTGGTTCATCTTTGTATCTACCCCTCTCGTCTAGCATAGCTCTTGGCACATAATAGGTACGCCACAAAGGATTAAGGACCGAAGGGACAACAATCCAACATGCCATGGCAACCTCAGACCATATGGGGTCCTGCCCAGTGCTCTGGGCCATGAGGATTCCCAGAGGCCAGCCCTGGAAATAAAGTCACTTGGCCCTAATTTAAGGAAACACCCATTCCAACTTGTCCTTAAAGCTAAGCCTGGTTTGGTCATTGACAAACTCACTCCTATCCTGTTTTAACCCATGTCATCCCATTCAACCATTCGGTGGTGGGTCTGCTGGATGCCAGGCAGTGTACCAGTACCTTGTGACTCCAAACGCAGCCTGCAGACCAGCACTTCCCACCCTCACCCAGCAGCCTGTTAGAAATGCAGACTCTCCAACCCGCCACAGACATACCAGATTAGAATCTGCCTTTTAGGGCGCCTGGGTGGCTCAGTTGGTTAAGCAACTGCCTTCGGCTCAGGTCATGATCCCGGAGTCCCGGGATCGAGTCCCGCATCGGGCTCCCTGCTCGGCAGGGAGTCTGCTTCTCCCTCTGACCCTCCTCCCTCTCATGCTCTCTGTCTCTCATTCTCTCTGTCTCAAATAAATAAATAAAATCTTTAAAAAAAAAAAAAAAGAGAAACAAAAACCAAATCTGTAATTACAGTAAAAGATTTCAATACCCTTCTCAGTTGATAGAATATACAAAAATTCAGAAAAGAGGGCGCCTGGGTGGCTCAGTTGGTTAAGCAACTGCCTTCGGCTCAGGTCATGATCCTGGAGTCCCGGGATCGAATCCCGCATCGGGCTCCCTGCTCAGCTAGGAGCCTGCTTCTCCCTCTGACCCTCCCCCCTCTCATGTACTCTCTCTCATTCTTGCTCTCTCAAATAAATAAATAAAATCTTTAAAAAAAAAAAAAGAATCTGCCTTTTAGCAAGATCCCAGGTGATGTGTACCTATGTTAAAGTTTGAGAAGCACTGGGCTACAGATAAAGATGGAGGGTCTGCCCTCTTGGAGCTTAAGGCAGACTCTGCACCTGTGGGCATCGGCACCATTCCAAGAGGAAGCTCTGGGGGCCTTATGTCAAGGGAGGTTCGCCCAGGAGACCAGAGCAGGCATTGTAAGCCATCTTCAAGGTTTTGTCATTTTGTCCCGAGAGCAACAGGAAGCCCAGGGGGAAGGAGTTCACAGCCAGGATGGCAGTGAATGAATTGGCCCATGTCACCTCTTGAGGGTAGTCGTCACTTTTGTAATTCGTGATCAAAACAAGACTTCCTTCTCTTGTCCTCAAGCACACTCGAGTGTTGGAGGAGGTGGCCTCATCCCAGGTGAGCAGGTCAGTGCAGGACCCTGAAGCCCAGTCAGGTCTAGGCTCAAGCTTTGCCTGTCCAGCAGGAGTCTCCATCTGTTGGCACGTCCCCCCGCCCGCAGGCAGTCGTCCTGCTGGGAACCACAGCACAGTGCTCTAGGAACATGCCCCTTTTCCTCCGCTTCCGGTGCACGTCGGACATATGCAAGCCTGAACTAGGGTTCTTGACAGGAATCGTGGCTCAGCTCTCCCATGTTCTCCAGTAGCTAAGTAGAGGCCATAGGAACTGCGGTAAGACTGTAGTCAGAGAGACCTGGGTTCGAATCCTGGCTCAGCCACTCACTCGCTGTGTGACCTTGGGCAGGTGTTTGAACATCTCTGAAATTGTTGCCTCAGGTGTGAATCCTTGCCATGTGAGAGTATTGTGAGGGCCGGGCACAGAGTGAGTGCTTTATGTATTCAAGAAATGTTTACTGGACACCTACTGTGTGACAGCTGTGTGCACACTCTGGGGGGTCCAACACTGGATGGTTTCAGACAACAGCCCTGCCATCATGGAGGAGAGTGGTCCAGTGGGGGAAAGTGTCATTTGTTGAATAATCACACCAATCAATATTAAATGACAATGTAGTATGTGCTTTGAGGTGGGGGCAGGGGAGAAAAGGAGCTTTGAGGGAGCAAAACAGAGGCCCCACCTAACCCAGAAAGTTGGAGGAGGGGCCTCTGAGAAACGACCATGTGTGCAGTGTCTCTTGACCAGGCGTCACTCTGCACCTCTCTTTCAGGTACCTGGAAGGAAACCACTTAACAGCCGTGCCCAGGGAGCTGTCCGCCCTCCGACACCTGACACTTATGTAAGGAGCCGGGCATGGGGGCGGGGGGGCATGTAATGTTCTCTCCTGGGGGAGCTCAGGAAACTATGTGGAGGGTAAGAGAGGACGGTCTGTGGGCTTCACGGCATTCCTACGCTTTCTCCCGGGGTGGAGCAGAGAGGCAGCTGGGAGGCATGAGCCATTCTGATGTGGCAGGTCTTACCAGTGAGAACTACACAGAGAAATACCCAGAGCCTGGCATCACTGACCATCCACATCACCTTCCTCCTTGGCTTAGGGACAGGTGGGGGAGCCTCTGACTTTCTGGGGCCCCAATTAAATCCTGAGACTCCCCAGCCTCCAGTTTCTTGTAAGCTGCGGCCACACTGAGGTTTGCCAGAAGCTTAAATGAGCATTTCTTCTTCCTCCTCTAGTTGCCTAGAAAATGTTCCAAGTAGGGCGCCTGGGTGGCTCAGTCGTTAAGCGTCTGCCTTCGGCTCAGGTCATGATCCCAGGGTCCTGGGATTGAGCCCCACATCGGGCTCCCTGCTCTGCGGGGAGCCTGCTTCTCCCTCTCCCACTCCCCCTGCTTGTGTTCCCTCTCTCGCTGTGTCTCTCTCTGTCAAATAAATAAATAAAATCTTTAAAAAAAAGAAAAAAAGAAAAGAGAAAATGTTCCAAGTAGATGGTTCAAATTAGGTTCCTTCATGTGGTAGCTCCTACCGACTCCAAGTCGGCCAAGACCCAGGAAAAACTCCCAAATGAGGAGCAGGGCTGCGGGGCATGGGTGGGGCCCAGGAAGCTGGGTGGTCCATGAGCTTTGCCCCTGACAGCATCACTGCCTTGCCAGGAGGGGAACCATAAGGGTACAAAATAATTCCTTGAGTGAGTGGTCATTGGAAGATCACCCTGGCTGCTCAGGGAGCAGGGAGCCAGTCCACAGGGGGAGAAGGAGAGTTCTTTCAGAATGAATCACTGTTGCCCTTGGGAAAGTGGGGCTACTGAAGAAGGGTGGAAGAAAGCCACCTGTCACCTCATTCAGGCTGGCTTCTTACCTATCCCCCAAACCAGCCTCTAGGTGAGATTTCTCCACCTCGGCCCTGCGTGCATTTGGGGCCAGGTCATGCTGGGTTGTGGGGCTGTGCTGGACACTGGGATGTTCAGCAGCATCTCAGGGCCTCTACTGATGAGATGCCAGTAGCGTCCCTCCCCAAGTAGCGACAACCAAAAATGTCTCCAGACGTTGCCACATGTCACTGGGGAAGCAAATGTGCCCGGAGTCGAGAACCACTCCTCTAGAGCAATGGTCCTCACCCTCAGCTGATTAATTTGTTTGTTCAATACTGATGCTCCAAACCATCCTCAAGCAATTAAATCAGAATATCTGATCTGTAAACCAGAATATCTGGACATGGGACCCAGGCCTCGGAGGGTGTAAACACTCTCCAGGGGATTCTAATGTGCAGCTACTATTGAACACCACTGCTTGGGATAGTTGTCCCTGAAGAGAAGCTGGAGGTTGTATTTGGCAGAGCACTACACCCCCACCAACCTCATTCCCCCTAAGAGAGAATCTGATAAGATGGGACAAATGAATGCCAGAAGTGAGAGAGGAACAGGGGAAGAAAGGATTGCCCTGGGGAAAATGGCGCTAGAATAAGGAGAGATCTCGTGTGTTCTGTGTTGCCGGGAGGATGAGATGGAAGGATGGACTTGTAATTGAATGGTTGACTAGGTGAATGGATGGATGGATGAACAACAAACGCTTGAATGAGGGATTGAATAAATCTTGAATGAAAATACTGGATGAATGGGTGGATAGGTGAGTGGATGGACGAATGGATGGCCGGACGGACAGACGGACAGCAGGCATACACGAATGTGTGAAAGTTGGGAATGACCCCCTACAGATGCAACAACAGTAAAGTATGCCCTTCTATTTTACTTTTCCTAGTGACCTGAGCAACAACAGCATTGGCGTGCTGACCAACTACACCTTCAGTAACATGTCTCACCTCTCCACCCTGTGAGTACAGTGGGGTGCTGCGTGTAACAGGGGCCTGGCAGTGAGTGGCGTGTGGCCATCCTCTCTCCCTGCCCCTCAGGCCTGTGTTCTCTGCTCTAGTGATCCTCAGGGCTATGGCTGCCCCCATGTAGAGCAGACCTTAATCACCAGAAGGAAAATAAAGTAGGGCAGAACTCTACTGTCTGGGCAGTTAGAGAGGAACTGACACCTAATTACTTCTGAAGAAGGCCCTCTTTGGAATACCTTCTGTGATCTGTGAATTTTCTTTCCCAGTGGAGGGTTTCCCTACACAACTGTATTTTGCTCAGATCCATTTATTTCCCATTAGCTCGGCACGCTGTGAGCACTGACCATTTGACAATAGAGGGAGGTGATGGCAAAGCTGGTTAGGGGCCCGCCTGCCGTGGAGCACGAGAGGAAGCTGGGGAAACAAAGCCAGGGAACTTTCTGGAGCGGTGAAAGGTGTTTCTCTTCCCTTTATTGTTGGGATGGTTTTTTGTCAATATCTTAAAATTAGAAAGATAAAGAAACCATTTGCTTTGACTGGTCCGCAGAATGGACAGTACGGCCGTAAGTAGCTGAGACTAGGAATGGCCAAGAGCACACCTGTGTCTTCTTCCGCAGGATCCTGAGCTACAACCAGCTGCGGTGCATCCCCGTCCACGCCTTCGACGGGCTGCGGTCTCTCCGAGTGCTGTGAGTGCCCCAGAGCCCCGATGCCCACTCGTGCTTAACCAAGTCCAGCACGCAGTGCTGAGTGCTCTTATCTGCCCCCACAGCTCCCCAGCCCCGCGCTCCCACGGGCCAGCACAGATCACAAGCCACTCTGAGTTGCTGCGGCTTCTTGTGCACAGCGAGCTTGCTAGCACCTCCCTGGTGAGGATTAGCACGTGCAGTTGTATTCTGCACCCTAGTAGAGCACGGTGTGTGGTTTGTGGCCACCGTGCTGAGGACCACTCCGCTGTTGGTCCCTCTGGCTTCAGAGGGGCAGCGGGAACACTGTGAACCTGTGCAGGGTGTATCAGAGGTCACAAACTAGAAGCCCAGACGCCTGGTTCAGCTCACAGACAGCTATGAGTTAGCCACTGTGGAGTCACTTGGCTCACAGAGTATCTTTTCAAAACCACAAAGTTTTAATAAGTTGCTAACAGTTAAACATCAGGAGTCTTCTCATACAAATCCTAATTTCTAATCTCTCTTGGAAAATGGAGAGATGTGGCCATTCCGGGGCTCCCATCTATATTCTTGCAAGGCTGAGCAGACCTGCCCCTTTAGACGGGGTTCTGGAGTCTGCAGCCTCCATACCTGCCCCCCACCTTATCACCATATGACACCTGCCTCGCCCTGTCCTACTCAGGGTAGAGGGCAGCCCACTGAGGCAGGTGAGTTCCTAGCAAAGACAAGATGGCCACAGATTCTACCTACTTTCCAAGCGTGGCTCTGCCCCTCCCTAGCTGTGTGTCTTCCGTAAAATCCAGGTGGTAATTACCTCGAAGGGTTTTATGATGATTAAATGAGATGATGTACAGACAGGCTTACCATAGCTCTGGCCCATGGCAAACACTTTATAAATATTCACTTGCTACTACCGGTATTTGTTATTACCTTACAAGAGCAGGAATGGCATCTCCCCCATCCCTAGGCCCTATTATCTATCACTTGATCTTTGTGCCTTGTCATCTTGCATATTTTGTTGGCAAAGGAGGATCCTTTGAATGATATTCCCATGAGGACAGAAATGCCACTTTTCATGGCCACTGCCCTCTATAACCCTTTGCAACAGTGCTGTGAGATTGAGGGGATTGTGCCCATTGTAAAGACGGGAAAACCGAGGTCCAGGTTGTAACTGGCCCCAAACCCAGCAGTCAGGAGGCTGCAGCATCCAGCCTCCTGACTCAGAGCCCTGGGACCCTTCTCAGGACCCAGTAGCAATCAGCAAACAGCACCCGATGAGCCCGTCCATTCCAGAGCCCCCAGGCTGATGTGATTTATTGAAGCCCACAAAACACCAGTGTCAGCAACAACTCCCGCCACGTGTCATCTGCGCTCTTATTAAAAATCAATTCTCTCAGGGCAAAGAAGTACCCGCGCTGACAGTGTGCAATCTGTTATTGTCCATTATTTATTATCCACCTTCTCGGGGGAGTTTGAGAATGGAAACATCAGCAGAACCATTTCCCTGTTTCCAGTTGAACGCAGCGGGAGATGGGCTCCTCTCATTGGCCGGGGCCGGGGCTGGTCCTGCTGCCCCCTCCCACTTCCCACCGTCCCCCCTCAATCCCAACCAATTGTCTCCCATCCTGGTCTTCCAGTTCTCCGCATGGGTTTGCTGCCAGGGGCTGCTGCCAATTTTCATGGGACCATGTGCCTACGTTTATAATTCGAGTGGTTCCAGTGGGGCAACCCAGCCCAGGAAAGGGAGGGAGACTGAGAATGCTTGCCTGTCCATTTGTCTGGTCTCCCAGGGTGGCAGCGAGAACATCACCGGGGTCTCCTGCTCCCCAGGCACCTCGTCTGTCCCATTGCAGACTGCTCTCATTCATTCATTGGGAACACACAGCAACATACCACATGCTTCTGCTTGCGTCTTGAATTAAGAATTAGTAGGCCTATGGCATCATCATTTTAGAATCATGGGATCTCATAGATAATAAGTGGTCTTAGAGGCCCTTGTTGCAACCATATACCTCAGTGGGGAGCAACCATTTTCCGCATAAAGGCCAATTCAGGAAAAATAAAAATGTTTATGGACGACGTTTCTTTTATGGTATTTGTATCCTTTTCCCCAGTAATTGCACAGCTAGGAATTTATGCTAAAGAATAATCCAATATGAGGGAAAGGTTCTCTGCATTAGGATCTTGGTTGCTCTGTTAATTTTTAACCTACATTTTAAATAGTACCTACAAGCGCCACAGTTTAAGGAAAAGCATAACACAGGCAGTCAATGAAGGGCAATTATTAAAAGAGGTAAAGATGAAAACGAGGTAGCAGTGTTGGGAAGTGTTTACCACATAGCCTTATGTGGAAAAGTAAACCTAATTGGTATATATGTCACAATTATAACTTGCATACATTTATAACTATAAAGAAGGACTTTGAGGGAACATAGACAAATGAAAAAAAAATCATTGATCACTAACTGCTAATGTGAAGTTGTTCCTGTCATAAAAGAAGGCAGAGTTAAAGATGAATGAATATAGTAGGATATTCACAATTTAGACGGTTAGGGGGGAAAGGTAGGTTTTTGTGAAATCAGGAGCTGTAATATCTACAATTGCATTTGAGCATTTGTGTTTTCTTTTCTCATTTCCAAAAGGTTTCCTTACTTTGATGAGAATTTCAGACATGACAACAGATCCATGGCTGCTGGCAGTTTGGGGTAGGGGAGAGAATAAGCATCGGGTTTAGCCAAGACAAAGGCCACAAAGTATTCTAGAAAGACCTGACAATTTAAGAGTGAGTGTGTGTGTGCGTGTATGTTGGTGGGTGGATGGAATACATTCCTGAGACAGGAGAGTTGTCAGGGAACCCTGAGTACAAAACACTGGGTGAAAATTTGCTTTTCCTAGTTTGCTCCTAATCTAAAAATAGCTAAAAGAAAACATTCTCATGGACATTCTAGTTCTTCTTCAGGGATCTGCGTGCTCCCTGATCTTTGCCCCACACTGAGCCACATGCCTTGTGTGCGTGTGTGTGGTCCCAGCTGTCACTCCCCAGCTGCAGGAGGGCCACCTGGAATCAGTTAGCTCTGGGAGGGCTGTTTCAGTGTGTGCTCATGAGGGAGGGAGTGGGATTATCATTCATCATCCTCAGTATTTTTAGTCCCTTGTCCCTGGAGGAAGATGGTGCTTGCTATTTATGCACACGGGGCTGTTCATCCGTGCTCTACCAATTGCATGGGTCCTCCCTACAGCGTCTCTGCAAAGGGCTCCATTGCCCTTTGCTTGATTACCTTTAGAGACCAGGAGCTTGCTCCCTTCCCAGATAACCCCACTCCATTAAATTAATTAATTGATTAATTATTATTTAGAGCAGGGGGAGGGGCACAGGGAAAGAGAGAATCTTAAGCAAACTCCACACCCAGCGCAGAGCCCGATGCGGGGCTTGACCTCGAGACCCTGAGGTCATGACCTGAGCTGAAATCAAGAGTCAGACGCTTAACTGACTGCACCACCCAGGCGCGCCGACCCCATTCCATTTTTTTTAAGATTTTCTTTATTTATTTGAGAGAGAGAGTGAGAAAGCATGAGCTGGGAGTGAGACAGAGGGAGTGGGAGAAGCAGGCTCCCCAAAGAGCATGGAGCCCAACTCGGGGCTCGATCCCAGCACCCTGAGATCATGACCTGAGCCCAAGGCAGATGCTTAACCGACTGAACCACCAAGGTGCCCCAACCCCACTCCATTTTTGACCGGCTGTTGAACATTAGACAATTCTGGTGAGCCAAAAGGTGATTCCTTATGGCCTCCAAACCCTGGTGCTGGTGTGGCCCTTTGGTGTTACCAAAAAATAAAATTAATTTTGAATTTTAGAAATGGGAAGTGAGTCTCAGAAATTATTCTAGCCTGAGGCTCAGTCGGTTAAGTGTCCAACTTCAGCTCAGGTCATGACCTCAGGGTCCTGGGATCGAGCCTCACATCGGGCTCCCACTCAGCAGGGAGTCTAGCAGGGAGTCTGCTTGTCCCTCTGCCCCTCCCCCTCCTCACTCTCTCTCTCTCTCCCCCCTCCTCAAATAAATAAAATCTTTTAAAAAAATAAACTATCTTATCCAGACCTCTCGTTTATAAAGTAAGGAGACAGATTCAGAAAGGCTTAGTGACTTGCCCACATTTATTTATTCATCCTTTTCTAAATACCTACTATGTGTTAAATGCTGTGCTAAACACCAGAGAGGAAAATAATGAAACACAGTCCCTGTCCTCAGCTCACGGTCTAGAAGAGGAAACAGACAAGTAGATAAGCTCCTGGCACACATGGCGATACCTGGGAGAGAGGCACGTGACCCAGTTTTGGCCATCCATTGATGGAATACACGGGAGAGGCACGTGACCCAGTTTTGGCCATCCATTGAAAAGCTTTTTGAGAGGAAAATCGTAATCGCCACTGACAGTTATCAAACCTTGTCTGTGTACTACACACTGGGCTACGTGCTTTAGTTAATTATCATATCCACTTTTCATATCACCCCTCTGAAGAATGTACCACTATTATCCCCATCCCCCAGACCAGGAAACAGAGGCTCAGCAAGGTTGAGTCACTTTGCCAAAGTGACACAACCAGTAGAGAATAAAGTTGGGATTTGAACCCAAGACCATTTGCTCTCCGAATCACTACTCCCAGGGCTGAGTCTGAGAAGCCAATGGGAGTTACCTATGTGTGAGGGGAGTGGAGACTATTCTAGGCAGGGAGAACATAAATTCCCTAGACAGAGCCCCTGGAGGAAGGGCATGTGCATGGGGACCCTCGAGGAGCAACAGATGTGGGGGGGGTGGCTTCTGGGGACAAGAGCAGGAAGCAGTGCTGCAGACAAGCCACAAGCAGGAGCAGAAGCGGGGTGGGAACCCGGGTCCCAGCTCCCAGCCCAGTGCTCTTTCCACCACATTCCATCCTTCCCAGCCAGAGGTTCTCTCTTTTCCTTGCCACCCATTTCAGACTTTCCTTGAGGATTGGAGGGACACGGCCCAGAGAGTCCTCTGATGAGAACTAAAGAGTGTGGTGGAAAGAGACACGGGCCAGAAGGTGATGGGCCCAGGGTCACTCTGCCGAAACCCAGTGTGTCTCTTCTCTAGTCCAGGAATCTGTCACGTGACTTGTTCCTGCCTTTGCACCGTACAGGCTGCATAGCTTCAGGCTTCCTCTGTGTGGAGGGAACGTTTTGAGAGGACCGGCCCCAAAACACATCGCAGAGCCTCAAGGGGAAGGAGTCATGACGATGGGATCCATAATTGCAGCCTCACGGGCAGGCCCTGCACGGAGTCCTGCACCATCTAAACCACTTGCATTGTATCTTTGAATCTTTGCAACTAGCTTAGGAAACAGTATGTTAGATCCCTTCCTGGCTGAAGGAGGAGAAAATCAGTTCAAACCACCGTAAGCAGGAAGAGAATTTATCAGTGCAGGTAACTGAAAAAGTCAGTAGTAGGTATTACGTTCTAGGGCTGGATGCAGGTGCTCCGATGGTACTGTCAGAAATGTGCTTCTTTCTGCTTCTCAAAGTGAAACTGTCTCTGTCCTAATAGTTCCAGAGAAAGCCCCAGAAGTGTCTCACATTGGTCCACTTGGGTCACATACTCAGCCTCAAACCACTCTCAGTGACTCTGGGCTGACGCTGACCTGGGCCATGGTTCTGCCCATGAGGCCAAACCAGCTGGACTAAGAGGTGGAGAAGGGTGACTCCTCCATGGAAAAGGGAGGAAGTGTTACCGAAAAGAGATTGATGCCAACCAACCCACACCCCTAAAAAGATACCTACTGCAAGTGGATCCTAAGAATTCCTCCATTTTAGAGACAAGAAAACAGAAGCACGGAAAGATTAAGTCCGTTGAATCAGATAATCACACAGCCAGCGATGATCAGAATAGGGACTCACACCCAGGCAGTCTGATCCAGGCCTTAACCCCCAGGTCACCTGGGAGTGACCCAGCCTGCTCAGAAGAGAATTCACCCACCCGCCCCACCCACAGACAGGATGACGGTCGTCCCTGCCATCTTTCACATGACCCATGAGCACCAGTATGACGTACACATGCCGGGAGCACCTGGGGGTCCGGAGACCCGAGGTTCAGGCAACCCAGAACTGACACGAGATTGTTCTGCTTTCGTGTTACTCCAAGTGATGCCCTCATCCGCACCCCAAAATGCCCAGGTTTACCATAACACCTCCGAAGAGTCAGCCGGGAAAAAGGAGTCCGGGCACTTGGAGAAGAGTCATTCTGAGTTCAGAGTTGCAGCCCCCAGGAGGTGTCAGGGAAAGGGGAGGAAAAGCAGGGGGTGGGGCGGTGGATCGTGCTTCCCGGGAGGAAACACTTGTCCTGCTTCCCTGGCAACCCTGAGGATGGTGGCTGGACAGGCAAGAGTCTTTCTTTGGGGGGCCAAACCGGGAGGGAGAACCTGCGGTGTAGGCAGATTTCTTTAGCGCTGTCCCAGTAAATTACAGCCCCGTTACTCTGCAGTTGACGGAGACCTCGGCAGCTCAGCTCATAATAAATGGGAGCGTGACGTGCAGGAGTCACAGCGCCAAAGCTGCCTTTGGGTCATTTGGTGTTTTTTAAATTAGGGCTTCGTGCCTCTCCAGGGGCCCAGGCCTCATTCGGAAATGATTAACAACAGGGCTGGGCACATTTGCCGAACAGCAAGCAACCATGAAGTCATCTAAGCTAATAGCAGGCAGGAGCCGGTGTGATTCATAAATAACCACATGCGTTCGAAACTAAATGATACTGGTAAGTGTTAGGAAGTGCTTCTAGCCCCTTCTTATCCGGGGAGGTGAGAAGCTACTTCCAGCTCTCTTTGGACGACTGGTTCGCTTCTTCCTGCTGTCCCAGGGAGAAGGAAAGGGAAGGAGCTTGAGGTGATGAGGGTGACAACCTAGGGCAGCTCAGTGTGGCTCGGAAGACCAAGAGCATGAGCATCACCTGGGAGCTGGTTAGAAATGCAGCCTCTCTCTCCCCCCACCCCAGACCCACGGAATCAGAGCCCCTGAGAATGGGTCTCAGAAATCTGCTGGTGTGTTAGCTCTAGCGCTCAGTCTGTCAGACGCCTCTGTTCTGTATTAAGTGTAAGTAAGCCCCTCTCTTTATTTCAGCTCAAAACCCAGGGCAGGCTAACATCAGCTAAAAGGAAAACAAAAGGGCATATTCGTTAGTTACACTTCCCCAGTCAACCCTCATTGCCCTTTGTTGGCTCCATCACAGCACAGGGGACCGCGCACGGTGGTCACTAACAGAGCCTCTGAGTGTCTGCACATTTCACAGGCCAGACCCCAAGTGAGTCATCGGTGTGGGGACTTTTTGTATGCGGTTGATGATTAGTCCTTCAAAGGAGGGTATAATCCATAAATTGTGGATTTACTAGTGTTGTTGCTTGAGCACCGGAGCAGTGTGCATTTGGGTTTTCTCATGGACCTATTCTGCAGGCATTGATTAAAAGTGCAGTATATGCCACCACTCCACAAGTAAGAAAGGCTCCCAGCTCCTACACCACAAGGCGGAGAGAGGTATGATTAATACCAAGCAGGTCGCCTGGCCCCTTGGACATGCTGTCAGAAAACGCACTTGGAGGCACGCGAACACCAGATAAAAATACGTCATGGCTGACACCAAACCATTCCCCATGCAGATGAGTGTCCGGCTCCACGGAATTGCCCCAGGACCTGAGCGCCCCCCTCCCTCTATCACCTGAGCTGGGATTAATAACATTTCTCAATCTGCTCAAAATCTCTCTAGGTGAATATGAAGGGAACTAATTTATTAATCTCTACCAGCCATTCTTCAAGACCCTTTCACAAATCTGAATAATGGGTGGTTATTTAGCACACAGAAAATGCTTGACTTTTTATGGATTAATGCACCCTCAACCACCTTCTATGACAAATCTGTTTACTTTCATTCCCGCTTTACAATAGGAAACTGAGGCACAGAGAGGTAAATAACTTTGGCCAGAGTCACACAGCTGGTAAGTGGCAGAGTCAGGATTTGAAGGCAAGCAGCCTGGCTCTAAAACTTAGTCTCGGCCACAGTTCTTCACGGTATCTCTCCAGTGCCTCCAGACATCCTTCTCCATGTTTCAGGTGCAAAAACCGAGGCTCAGAAGAGCGAAGTTAACGTACCCAGTGTTCCACAGCTAAAAAGGACTGGTTTCTCATTCCATCCCGGGCCTGTCAGATTCAGAACTCCATCCTCTTCTTTCCCAAACCCTCTACCCCCAACATCCACACTGCTGAGCTGGGCATGGAAATAGGCAGGCACCTGCCTCAGAGGAGGAGGCACCTCCTGCTAAGAGCAGTGGGGCTCTGAGCACAAATGAGGGGCGTTGGGGCCAGCCTGGACCCCAAGAGCTTGCTGAGCTCAGAACCATAACTGGGGGTTAACCTCCGCCCTATGCTTCCACTTTCAGGACCCTCCACGGCAATGACATTTCCAGCGTTCCCGAAGGCTCCTTCAGCGACCTGACATCTCTTTCCCATCTGTAAGTAGCCATAGTTCTCCTTGGTGTGGATCCACTCAATATCGTGATCGTGCCAGGGATCATGCCATCCCTGGTCCCATTTCAGTATATGTTCTTTCCATACGCATAGAGCACGTTCTATAAAAACATACCCACATGGTGCATCTCGTGTGTTCTCTGCTTCAGATGCCTTAAGAGGCGTCATCAATTATGTAAACAATGTAAATGTTTAATAAGAAGAACTGATATAAAACTCTTACTATGTGATAAACACTTTAGATGAATTATCTCATTTACTTCTTAGAGCGATAAAGCATTTTTATCCCCTTATTATACACAGCGAAACTTAAACTGAGAAGAACTAAAGACTTTATCCAAGGGCTGCACAGCGAGTAAGCAGCAGAACCTTGGTTCAAATCCAGGTTCACCTTGACTCTAAAGCACATACTTGCTACCACTCTGCATGAGGTATTCCCTCCCCATTTTACGCAGGGGAAACCAAGGTCTGTACGTATTAGCTGTTACCTACCTCTGCCAGTGACCATTTTTGAGTCTGTATACCGACTCTATGCATATTTAATTGTTTTCATATTGCATGCATATACTGTGATACTGATACATTATGTATGCACCTTATAAAACATTTAAGAAATAGAAATGCTAAAGGATATGATTTTTAAAATAAGCCAAAGTTCTTGTATTTTCTGTCTGGACACCCCTGTGCAGAGGTCTGCACCAGCCTGTGCCATCCCCCGTCCTGTGCATTTTTAAGCTGACTGGTGTAGTCAGCTTCTACCCCCTTAGGTCCTGTGGCTGGTCTAAGAATTAGATGGACATAAGACAGAGCAACTGGAGAAAAGCATACAAATGTATTGGGTATTTTTATGTGTACATGGGAGTCTTCAAATGGAAAATGAAGACCTGAAGAAGCCAGTAGGCCCAAAAATTTATATATCTTTTTATACAAGGAATGAGAAATTGTGGGGATGGGACAAGACAAAGGGCCTTGGACTGGGGCAGTCCGTTGTGGGGCAGTGGCTAGGAAATATGCGGAGGGACTGTTGGAAGATCAGGTTTGTTTGTACGGGTCCATTTTGGCATTGACTCCCAGTCTCTAGTGATAAGAATCTTCTCATTATGGTTCAGGGAAGGCATCTTTCTCACGGGAAACTGTATGACTTGCTTTTAGGTAGAAAGAGGGAGTTCAGAGAGCCCCTCCTGCATCTGCCATTTCTCTGGTACCTTTAGCTCAAAATCATCAATATGCCAACACAGCATATCTAGGGGTGTCATGCCCTGAGCCCTTTCCATGGTCGGAAGCTTCTCCCTAGGTTGCCGTGTATCAACACCTTCTCTGCAGAGTACATCCTTTGATGGACCCTTCAGTAGTGCAACAGAGTCAGATAGTCAGATGGCCAAAGGTTCCAAAGCATCCTGGAAGGGCTAGGAGTTGAGGACTGAATCTTAGCAGGGTAGGTGCAAGCAAAACCTCGGAGGTAGGAGGGCCTTAGGTGGGGTGGAAACATCTGGAGGGATTGGAAGTACTATCTGGAGTCTGGTGGAAACTAACCCAGTGGAAACTACTGCTCCATTGGGCCTCCAGTCAGACACCCCTAATCTAGCCAGAGTCTGAGGATTCTGTTTTTCCACGAAGCCTCTGGGCCAAGCTGAGCAGGGGCCCCTGACTTCCTGCTCTGCCTTCTAGGGCGCTGGGAACCAATCCACTCCACTGTGACTGCAGTCTGCGCTGGCTGTCGGAGTGGGTGAAGGCGGGGTACAAGGAGCCTGGCATCGCCCGCTGCAGTAGCCCCGAGCCCATGGCCGACAGACTCCTGCTCACCACCCCCACCCACCGATTCCAGTGCAAAGGTACCTGCTGACCCTGCCCTGCGCTTCCAGGGGTCTGCTCTGTCTCCGACAGCCCGTCGGAGCTGGGCATCTCAACAGATGTGACGTCTGCAACCATCGCCCCATCTCTCCCGTGGGCCACACGGAGAGACTCAGATGCTTTGTCTTCTCTCCTCAAAGTCCCTCTGCTGGCATCTCTAATGTGTTCCTCCCTGACTTCTTTCTCTACGTAGTTTTGCATAGAGGAAAATCTTTAGCCTGTGTTTCTTTACCCAACATTCTTAAAGCATACGCATTTTCCCATTTTTACTACAGCAAGTTTTTGGTACATGAGATTTTAATCGACTACATCATTATGATAAACAAACTGCTACTGCGTTCTTCTGTGTGTTATTTCATTTAATTCTCACTTTCCAAGTATTAATTTAATTCCCCGACACTCTCAGCAGACTTCAGTATTACCCTTATTTTTAAAAACAAGAAAGCTGAGGCTTACCAAGGTTAAGTGACTTCTCAAGACTTCTCTTAGGAGGCTCCCAGGTCTTTCTTTCTTTCTTTTTTTTTTTTTTAAGGATTTTTATTTATTTATTTGAGAGAGAGAATGAGAGAGAGAGAGCATGAGAGGGGGGAGGGTCAGAGGGAGAAGCAGACCCCCTGCTGAGCAGGGAGCCCGATGCGGGACTCGATCCTGGGACTCAAGGATCATGACCTGAGCCAAAGGCAATCGCTTAACCAACTGAGCCACCCAGGCGCCCCCTCCCAGGTCTTTCTGATTCCAGAGTATACTCTTGCTCACCAGGCTATCATATTTGGCCGTAACTTCTTTAACCAGTTCCTGGTTCTGAACCTTTAGTATTCACTGGGTATTTCCAATTGTTTTCTACCACTGATGCATAAAAGTTCTTTCTCTATTTAAAATTATATACTTAGGGGCACCTGGGTGGCTCAGTGGGTTCAGTGTCCAACTCTTGATTTCGCCTCAGAGTCGTGAGATCAAGCCCTGCCTCGGGATCCGCACTCCGCACAGAGTCTGCTTGGGATTCTTTCCCTCTCCCTCTGCCCCTCCCCGCCCTTTCTCCCTACTCTAAAAAAATAAAATTATATCCTCAGATAAGATTCAGAGAAGAGAAACTACTGAGGCAAAGTATGTGATCATCTTTAAGGTCTTCACACATATTGCCAACTGGTTTCCAAAAAGGGTTGTAAACCACTTTATGCCCCCAATAGCACCGTTTGAGCGCATTTTTCATCAGGCTTTTGCATTATTTTATCTCATATCATCTCATTGCTAATTAGAAAGGTTTAAAAAAATTATATCTCCTATTTTGTCTTTTCTTTGATAACTGATTTTTTTTTTAAAAAATATACTTTCAATTTGTATTATGTATTTGTCTGTTAATGTCCTTTGCTCATCTCTTAGAGCCTTGAGTTGATTTACATATATAGTTTGATTACCCTATAAACCTCATGTGTCTCACAGTTTTGCTTAAAGCAGGAAAACATTCCACTGATTTTTTTTTTTTTTTAAGATTTTATTTATTTTTTAGAGAGCGAGAGAGAAACAGCATGAGAGGGGCAAGGGTCAGAGGGAGAAGCAGGCTCCCCGCCGAGCCGGGAGCCCGATGTGGGACTCGATCCCAGGACCCTGAGATCATGACCTGAGCAGAAGGCAGTCGCTTAACCAACTGAGCCACCCAGGCGCCCCATTCCACTGATTTTAAGCTAATTTTTCATTTTCCTCCTCCTGCTTCCAAAACATCTGACTTGATTGACGCTAAAGAGGCCCAGCTCACTCTAAAATAGTGGTTCTCAATCTTAGCTGTACATTTTGGAATCACTTGAGGAGCTTTTTACTGGTGCCTGGGCCCCACACTCTAGGTTTTAGATTAAATCAGTGTGGGGTACAGCCTGTGTGTGCTGGGGATATTTAAAAGCACCTTGGCTGGTTCTACCATGAGGTGACCAATTCATCCCGGTTTGGCTGGGACCTTCTGGTTTTTGCACTGGAAGTTCTGCATCCTGGGAATCCTGGCAAACCAGGACAGATAGTGTCCCTTTTCTAATGTGAAGCTGGGGGTTGAGCCAGCTAGTAGAGACTCTCATTCGGGCCGTTCTTTCTATTCCCCCTACCCACAAATTGGCAGACTCCCCCCGGGGTTAATCTCAACCCAATCTCCAAAGCTCTGTGCAGGGACCATGACGGCCACCCCTCCAGCCTTTACAGCTGAAGAGAACAGGACATGGTCAGAATTGTCATAGACGCAACGTGTGCCTGAGCACAGTTTGCCATCCATCGTTGACCTCATTGCTGTGTCTTTCGGCATCACTTCTTCCTTCCTCCTGCCAATTCAAGGGTTCCATGAGGAGGAACCTTCCTTTGGCCCAGGCACCGTGCCCTCCTTAGCCTAGCCTGAACTATTCCATGGGGAGGGGTGTTTGGGGGCAGAGGAATGGGAGGTCCAAATGGAGGCTGGGCCCAGAGCTCCCAGAACATAAAAAGATACACAAGGGGCTTCTAATTATGGTGCCTTGTTTGTAGATTAGCTCCAAAATCGGATCAGGCTAATTATAGTAATTGATTTGACTGCAGAAGTGCTTCTGAATGATGTCCCACTGTGATTTTTTTCCTCACTGGACAACGGCTGCATTAATGGGACTCTAGCTAGACTGGATGGTGCTGGCTGGGGAGGGCCAACTGCCCTGTGTGTGCGGAGATGGAGAGGAGCTGGCGGCTGGCTGAGGATGGGGCTAGAGAGGAGGGGAAGGGAAGAAGCGGGGACCTCGACCTGCTACCAACAATCTGGTTTTGCTGCCCAGGGCCAGTGGACATCAACCTTGTGGCCAAGTGCAATGCCTGCCTCTCCAGCCCGTGCAAGAACAACGGGACTTGCAGCCAGGATCCCGTGGAGCTCTACCGCTGCACCTGCCCCTATGGCTACAAGGTAAGACGGGAAGCCTCATCCCCACCTTTCATGGCCCCAGGAGCGGCCCTGTGCCCTGCTGACCCTCCCTTCTCCAAGGGCGGCCTGGAGAACTCTATTTCACAGGTCACTCCAGAGACGTCTTTGCCAGTAACACTCCTATTCTACTGCTACCCAGTCATGTAAAACACAGAGAACCCCTACAGTCTCGACAGTGACACTCAGAGATAAGGAGGAAATGTAATATTTGTATGGTCCTTGCTAAACATGGGGACACTAAGTCTCAGAGATTTCACATGCTTCCAAGCAGAGGTGTCCGTGGAACTCACTATCCTGGCTTCCCTTCAAGGGCATTTCCAGACCCTCCCCTCCGCATCCCCAGCTCCACCCTCGGGGTGGCCAGGGCTGGAAGCGCTGGCTCCAGTTCGAGAAGGATATAGGGATGGCGACTGAAAAGCCTGGGGGCTGGCTGCCAAGCCAGCACACTGTTGAAAGGCTTGGGTCCGCCCGTAAGGGGATGGAGATGCCATTTTTCCTGGGCATCCTTCCCAGAAATCCAGGCTAATTCCAGAACAACTTTTCCTCCTTTCTCCTCACCCAGCACTATCTAGATCATGTTATCCTGCCTCCCTACTAACATCTATATAGAGTATGGACTACATGGCCAGCAGTCTGCTTAGCATTTTAGCCACCTTTTCTTTTTAAACACGCCCTATGAGGAAGGCTCATTATTTCCCATCTACAGATGTGGAAACTGCACCTCGGGTTGGTGAAAGGGCTTGACTCAATGTCCCAAAGCTCATAAGCAGTAGGGTTGGGATAGGACCTAGCGCTATATGATTCCAAAGTTCCTGGTTTTTCCCCTGGATAGCCAAGCCCCTCACTGTGTCTCACTGGGGTCAGCAAAGCTGTGGCTGAATCCCCTTCCCCAGGACCTTCCCAGCTTCCCACCTCCCCAGGGCGCCCATCCAAATGGAGTGGGCAAGCCAGGAGTTCCAAGACCACCCCAAAGCCCATCTAACACCCATGCCTAGTGTGTGGCAGACTGGGAGGGAGCTGTCATCACTGAGTCTCCTGTCCCCTGGAGCATTTGTAAGTATAGTGACCAGCTTGAGGGGCAGACTCAACTCCGGGGAACGTACTAGCTGTGCCTCCAGCAGACGGTGTCAGAGTGCCACCTATGGGCCTGGCCGAGGAGAGCCAGAGGAGGCTCTTGGTAGCCAGCCAGCCAGCCAGCCTTGCCCCATCCTATGAGTGCGTATACAGACACTGCAGGGAAGTAGAGAAATTAAGATGACATACTCGGGCCTAGGTCCTCACACTCCCTTGTATTAATTCGGTGGAGGAAACAGGATGTGGAATTACACAGAGGGCAAGTGTGAACTCCAGCTTTGCTGTGTGGTGACGGCCAGCGGCCTCACCTCAGCCTTCCATTGACACCCCAGGGCCCATCTCACAGGTGTGCTGTGACCATCACAGGGACGTCGGCAGTGCACCTAGGAGGGTCCTTCAGTGTGCATTCAGTAAGCCAGCACGTTGCTGCCTTTTACTTCCCCCTCGCTGGCTGGTTTCACCCGGGGTTCTCAGTCCGTGACACTGAATGGCCGGAGACCATCAGTTGCTCTCCTAGAAAGGAGACATGTACATGACATGCCCAGTTCCATACCTGTATAGTTAGCTTTTTATGCACTGACTGTGTGCCAGACACCCAGCTGGACGTTTGTATTTATTCCCTCCTCTAAGTTTTATAATCACCTTTGAGGTGGACGGTTTCGTCCCTCTTTGAAAGATAAGACCACTTCACATTCTGAGTGTCGCTCCCTTCTCTATCAAATCAGCCTGAGTCTGAAAGTACTGGAGCTCGGTTTGAAGGCCCAGCTGCTTCCTGCCACACTTGCGAAACTGGCCTGGCCGTGTGTGTCAGAGCAAAGAGTGCAACCACAGGGCTCTTATGGGGTAATGCCGCTTGTTTGGACTTCGCTCGTAAGAGTCTGAATGTCTTGTGGAAGAATCTGAGCAAGGATTTGGACCTTTAGGAAACTGCTGGGGTCACACAGGTCTGGAGTACAAGGGGGAGGAGGATAGTGGTGGGACGGTACATGATGGTGATGATGGGGATGACTATCACACCACCAGGAATATGAGCGGCCAGCATTTAGTGAGTGCCTACTGCATACCGACAGCATACTAAACAAGGTACAGGCATTATCTCGCATACCCCTCCTCAAAGCCCTAGGAGGCCAGGTCCATTTTCCAGTTTAGGAAACTGGGATAGTAGGTGAGACAGTTGGGATTCAGAGCTCAGAACCAATTGATTCCAGAACCCATGCTCTTGACCACTGCATTCATGGCCCACTGTCAAGCACCATAAGTCCCTGGCCATTTGGGACCTGTCAGAGTCTCCAGAACAGGGAAAAGTAGGGTGTGCTGGTGGAAGGAACACCAGGCAGGACCCCCGGAGCTTGTCCCTACTTGACTGTATGACCTGGAACAGCTCCTACTCTCCTCCCCACCTCAGGTTCCTTGACCTCAAAATGCAGCAGGTAGAACCAGAGGGGTCCCTTCACTATGGGTTGCATCCTACCCCTGCCTTGTGTTTGTTCCCCCTGCTCTCCCTTCTTCTGGGGTCGGAGCCCACCCGAGCAGTGACTGAAGTAGTAGTTCTGGGTGAGTTGCTAAGTTGACAACAATCAACAGATACCCACAAAACCATGCTCAACGTTCTGACACTTACCTAGTTATTTCCCGATATCTCAGTTTTTCCATTGACTATCTGAGTGAACGTGGGAAGCCGCAATATTAACCAAAAAAGCATGGCCCCCCACTGCATAATGTTTAGTGACAGCTGCTGTTCATCTGTAATGCCAGGCCTTTGTGAAGCAATTTAAGCACATCACACTCTCTTTTATCCTCTGAAATAAGTTTTGTTATCCTCTTTTGGTAGTTGTAGAAACTGAGGTTCAAAAGGATCAGATAACTTACCCAAGCTCCCACACCTAGGAAGCACGTGAGCTAAACCCAGAGCCCGCCTCTCCCTTGCAGCAAAGTCTATCCACTCAGCCCCCCACGAGTAACTAATTCCATCTGAGCCTCACGTCCCCTCCCCCACCTGCACATGGAGGCAGAGCTCCTACAAGGATTGATAGGGTCATGTATGCACTTGGCCTGCCTCAGAGCCAGGATCCAGTAGACACTTCACAGAGAGAACTGGTTTACAGCTATTCTAACACTGGCGGAAATAAAATGTATGTTTGGGCTCATTCTGTTTCAGCCATTTAGCTTCATGTGCCTCTGTTCAATGTCCCAACACAGCGCTCCTCACACTGTAGTGTGTACTCCACCTGGAGATCTTATTAAATGCAGGTTCTGACCCATTAGATCTGAGGTCAGGCCCAAGTTTGTGCATTTTGACCAAGATCTCAGGGAATGCCATTGCTTCTAGCCCAAGGACCGTAGTTTGAGTAGCAAGGTCCTGGAGCAGCCCTCCTGGCCCCATCTCAGAGAGAGGGTTCCAATGGGGATAGCTACTCCCAAACTCCTTTAAAAGAAGCCAGAAGCCCCAGCCATGATGTCTGTTCTCCCTCTCTCTCTCTCTCTCTCTCTCTCTCTCTCACACACACACACAGCGGTGGGAGACCAAGGAGCATCATAAATCTAGTAGATCTGAGCAAAGTGAGGCTGAAGAGAGTTGAACTGAGCTAATTAGCCAGGCATTGACAATGGTGATTATTTCTCAAGGACATGTAAGTGACAGAAACCCCACCTCCAGGCCCAATTAGCACATCATCAAGAGCTAGGGTCAGCCTCCTGGATTTCTGAGCTCAGCGTAAGGGACTGGAGGAAACATCACCAGCTCCACATCACCCCCATCCCACCCCCAAGGGAAGATCCCACCTGGAGTCCCTGATACTTGAGAGTTCCCCAGAGCAGACAGACTGGCCCAGGCAGGGACTAGGAAGGCCCTGCCTTGACCTTGAACCAGGTTCTCTTGTGCTGCTCTTCACGGCTCATCCATCCAACACACAGTCACACACATACACACACTACTCCTGAACAATTCTGTTACCAACCAAAGGCCTGAAAAAGTCTTTGGATCACCCCCCTCCAGCCCTGCCTCAGACCCCTGACGTCATCCCCATCTGAAGAGCTCTTACTTCTTACTTCCGGGGCTACCATCACATGCCAGGTGCTTGTTATATACATGTGTGATTTCTAATGGTTCATTCCATAGGGGAGGTTATTATCAGAGAAGTCCCCGGCGCTGGCTTCCCATTGACTGGGTGTCTGGCTGCAGATGCCGCCCCGCCCCACTTGCTGGAGGGCAGTCTGGGACACGTTAGCTCACTCTCCCAGTCTGCCTTTGCGATCTGAAAATGGCAGTAATAACAATCAGACCCATCTCACAGGCTTGTTGTGAACATTACATGTGATCGTGAATACAAAACCCTTAGTGTGAGGCCTGGAATGGGAAATGCGCTCAGTAAATTGAGAATGAGTATTGCAGTTTCCACCGCACACAATGACTCTCCGAAAGGGATCCCGCGTCGCTCTGGTTTAGGATAAGCCCAGATCCCACCCAAAACTCCGTTCTCCTTCTCCCCCTCGAGAAACCCCGGTCTGGCCCTTAGCGGTGAGAGCCGTGAGGGCCAGGCGCACGTGGCCGTGCCTCCCGGCTGCTGGGGACGGCGCCTGTGGCTTCAGGGCTGGAGACAGGAGGAGGGTCGGAGGCCCGCTTGGCAGTGACCTCGGGGCCGGGGAGCCCAGCCCCCCTCCGTCACAGGCACTGGCAGCAGCAGAGGTGGGAAGGGCATTTTCTCAGGCAGATGGTGAGCAGGTGGCGTGGTGGTGGGAGGGCTCCCGTGATCGCCCCCGCTGGGCACGGTGCCCACCCCAAGCCCACAGCCCAGAAACAAATGCCGCGGATGCCTCCAGAGACCCCACAGGTCCTCCAGGGGACTGCTTGTCAAGACTTAGATGCAGTGCTGGGGCATCAGTCCCAGAGGAGAAGCTGGAGCCAGAGGGCCAAACATTGGGCTGCTCCCTAGGACGCAGGGTCTTAATGTCCACAGCGTCTGCCTTGGCCTCCCTCCTCAGTGCCTGGCCCTCACTGTCCTTCTGCCTGGCACGCTCCTTCCCACCTACCGCACAGTTGGCCCCTCCTCAGCTCAAATGTCCCCTTCCGAGGGGCGTGCTCCAGAGGAACGCCCCCTCCACCCACAACTGCCTGTCGCAGAGTCCTCAGTGTGGCCTGGAGATTAGAATCAGAACTTTCAATACCAACAACCAGGCCCACTTCCAAACCAATCGAAGATGGGTGTCTGGGGCGTTGTCACTTTACAGGGGCAAGGTCTGCTCTCCACACTTCAGCCCTAGTCTCAAGTTGTGGATTACATGGAAGCGTCCGTGTGGCTGAGAATACGGTCATCGGCGAACACGTATAGAGTGCCTACTGCGTGCTAGATGTGGCCTATACTTTAGGTACTTGCTTACGTGAAAGGCTGCATTTAATTCTCCAGCAGCTCTGAGAGGTAGGCTGGGAGAGGTTAAAAGGCTTATACAGGTCATGGTGAGCCAACCAGAAAGAGATGAAGCTGGACTGTGAAACCAGGTTTTCCTGTATTCAAAGCCCATGCTCTTGCCCTGCAGTTCAGGATAGAGAACAGGATGTGAATTCTGGGAACTCGTGAAGCTGGGCCCAAACTCCTGGGTGCTCACTCGCTCCAAGGGCCCCCTTGGCTTCCTCCAAGCCACGCAGCAGACCGGTCCCAGGGCTTCCTTGTGGCCATCTGCCCGGCCTCATCCTGGAGGATGCTGGGGACTCCAAAGGGCGTCCTGGTCCCGGCTGCCACTGACAGCCTCCCTAACCCGGCGCGTCTCCCCCTTCTGCTCCTCAGGGCGGAGACTGCACTGTGCCCATCAACACCTGCATCCAGAAGCCCTGTCAGCACGGAGGCACCTGCCACCTGAGCGAGAGCCACAAGGATGGGTTCAGGTAGCCGCTCACGCGTGGGCCTTTCCTCCCTCCCTCAGAGGGCTTTCTGGGCAGACTCCTGGGGCAGGCTGAAGAAGCATAGCTGCTCACCGGGGCCTGCCTTGTGGCCACACTGTGCCAAGCCCATCGTGTGGATGATCTCAGGCTCTTCCACCCTGTGAGGGAGCTGCTGTGATCGCTACGATACAAATAAGGAGGTCGGGGCACCCACAGGAGCAATCCTTTGCCTGCATGACACAGTCAGTAAGCACTGGTACAGGGAATTCGGGGAGGCTGTCTCCAGAGCCAGGAGGGCACCACGGGAGGCCACAGCTGCTGGCAGAGTCAGAGAAGGATGGCATGACGACTCAGAGCCCCACGGCACGGCAATTCCACCACTCTCCTGTGTGATAAAAACAGCGATAACAGGTGACCTTGACTACATGTTCATTATGAGCCAGGCACGAGCTAGTCGTGTAGTAGCTCATTTAAACCCTCACAGTGACCCTACCCACTACAGGTTGGGGCTAGCCCCATTTAACAGATGAGGAAACTGAGACACAGAGGTGGATTTGCTCTGGGTCACCTATCCTGACGCTCATTCCTGGGTCTTCCCACCCAACCTTGTTCCTCCTTAAGAGCTCAGGAAGAAAAGAGGATAGAAGCCACTTCTGTTTTTCCCATCCCTGTTCTAAAAGCGGGCTTTCAAGGCCTCTGCCAAACCCCAGGCCCCCTTCCTACTTCCCACCCTTCTCAGCTGCTTTCAGATGCCCAGTTTTCCCGGCCCCTGGCCCTGGCAAAAGCAGACCAGTGGGAAGTGGTTCCTTTAGCACCCCTAGTGAGGGAGTGGGTCAGGCAGGAGAGGAGGGGTGCCCGGTGCCAAGCTGTGTGTGGATGTGTTAGAGCTCAGATTGCAAACAACTATTGAAGGCACTCTGGCTGTGTGGTCTGCGAAAGAAATCAGGTTCTGGGCTCCCAGTTCTCCTCCCCGGGGAACCCAGCCTATTCCTGTGTCCACCTGCCAAGCCAGTGAAAAGTAAAATTCAAGGCAAGTTTTGTTTTCCTGCCTGAAGTCGGCCAAACCACCCACTCCGACCTTCTCACTGGGAGCAGGGGCGAGGAGAAACCACACAGAAATCTCACGGAGGTGGCGATGTGGCCCCAGCCAGGAAACACACCTCCAGGGTCAGAGCCTGGCTCTGCCCTCCCAGCCAAGGCATGGAGGTCTGCAAGAGGGAGGAGTGCCCCCTGCAGGCGACTGTCTCTTCCCTCTCTGGTTCCCTATGCATTGGGCACCCCGCCCCCCTCTTTGTGGGTATCTCTCTCCATCTCTGGAGCTGCAGGTGAGCAGAAGGATCCTGTTTCCACCCTCAGTTGCTCAGGGGATTCAAATGAACTGGAAATATTTGTAGAATTTCATTTTCGAGGAAAAGGGCCCAGACCTACAGGATTAGGGAATGGGGTGGAGGATTAAGGCAATGAGGCCCACATACTGGGGATAGCATAGTTTGTGTGGACCCCCCAAGGAGCAGCAACTCTCCCTCACTAGGTGAGTACCTGATAGGTTGGCAAAGTGAGGGACACCTGTCAGGGAAGCTCTGCTCCCTTTTTCCGTCCTGTGTCTGTTTGCTAGGACTGCTGTAACAAAGTACCACACAGGGCTGGCTTGGAACAACACAAATGTATTCTCTCACATTTCTAGAAGCCAGAAGTCCAAACTCAAGGTGTCAGCAGGGCCATGCCCACCCTGAAACCTATAGGGGAAGGGCCCCGTCCTAGCTTCTGCTGGTGCCTGGCGATTTGGGGCCTTCCTTGGCTTGTCTCCTCGTGCCTGTGTTTTTGTAAGGACGGCAGTCATAATGGACCAGGGGCCCACCCTCCCCCAATATAACTGCATCTTAAGTTACATCTGCAATGACCCTATTTCCAAATAAGGTCACCTCTGAGGTGCTGGGGGTTAACATATCTTTTTGAGGGGACGCAGTTCAACCCATAACACCTCTTGCATGTCAGAATTCTAGAAGTATCACGCACCTCTTCATCAGATGCTTCTCCAGTCTTGATGCATTATCTGCTCACAAAAAGAGCAAAGACTAGCAGAGCTGGCCAGGCAGGAGACCAAGACGGGAGATGGGACCCATCCTACAACCCCACAGCTAACTGGATGCTCTTGGAGTCTCCTTGACAACCCCCTGCCAAGGTTTCCAGTTTGGGCAGAGGAGACTTTAGTCTCCTTCCCACCTTCTGTCCACTGCATGAGCAACCCGTTCCCTCACCAGCCATCCGTATCCCACTTTCATGCAATTCTACAGCTCTGGGGACAGCCAGGGTAACTCATTTCAGGAAAATAGGCAACACTATGGTTTCAGACCTTTGAAAGCCTACCCTCCATCCGATTCTGAGGAAATGGCTTTTCCTGAACGCCCAGAGTCCCTCACAGAAAAAAGGAATGCATCATTTTGCTCCACCTCAAGAGCTCAGACTGAAGAACCCCTCTGGCCTTCTGTAGAAAATGTGACACAGTTTTCAGGTTGTAGAGGAAAGGAAGTTAAGTAGGATTCTAGAAATCCACTTCCTATCAGTTTAGTTTTGTAGCTAAATCCCAAATCAGAGCAATCTCTAAAACAGAGAAAGGCCTGGAATCCTGGGTCTGAAGCTGGAACAGACGTTCATGAATGGGGTGTAGATCCCTGACGGGAGGCTGGGCTGCAGAGGGAGTAACTCCCTGCAGCTCATTTAATCAGATACTCGCCTCCCACCCATGCCCCTTCTCATCTGCTCAGCTTCTCTGTCCCAGCTTAGTTTGAGGTTGGGCAGAGGATGGCCAGAGGTTGGAGGTTTTTATCCAAGAGATGCAGCACTCCAGAGACAAGTTAAGGGACTGCATCATGCGATCCAGTGTTTTAAGCCAAGCTCACTGGAGAGCCTCAGCGCTGTCATCCTCCTGCCGCATCCACTTATCCCCCAGAAGCTGGAGGGGTCTCAGAAGTAGGCGTACAGGGGCGCCTGGGTGGCTCAGTCGGTTAAGCGTCTGCCTTCGGCTCAGGTCATGATCCCAGGGTCCTGGGATGGAGACTCACATCGGGCTCCCTGCTCAGTGGGAGGCCCGCTTCTCCCTCTCCCACTCCCCCTGCTTGTGTTCCCTTTCTCGCTGTGTCTCTCTCTGTCAAATAAATAAATAAATAAAATCTTTAAAATAAAATAAAATAAAATTTAAAAAAAGAAGTAGGAGTATATACAGGGGACAATGGCATCCCTGAGAAAGAGTAAGGAGGCCAGGTATCCAGAACTGAAGGCAGCTAACATGTTCTGAGCATGTTCTATGTGCCAGATCCCCTCCTGAGCCTTTTACTTTTTTTTAATAAAGATTTTATTTATTTATTTGACAGAGAGAGACACAGCGAGAGAGGGAACACAAGCAGAGGGAGTGGGAGAGGGAGAAGCAGGCTTCCCCCTGAGCAGGGAGCCCGATGCAGGGCTCGATCCCAGGACCCTGGGATCATGACCTGAGCCGAAGGCAGACGCTTACCGACTGAGCCACCCAGGCGCCCCTGAGCCTTTTACTTGTATCATCTCCTTACTCCCCACAACCACCACAGTGGGGAAGTAATACTCCCCCAGTCACTAGATGTGGAAACTGAGACACAGAATTTAATTCATTTGCCTAAGGTCTGATAGCCAGGGAGCAGCAGACCCAGAATTCATTCCCCATACTCGGCTGCAGATCCTGATCTTGGCCACCATGTCCTATTCGGGCTCAAGGTAGAAAGCCTGCCCTTGAGTAGAAAGTCACTCAAAGGGGGATGTTTGTTACGCTGTTTGTCTCTGTCTATAAACCACTACCCACAGAGGAGCCAAAGGAAGACAGCTGGAGGCATTTAAGCTCTCTCCAGGAAACCACTTCCAGCTGGGGGAATGGTGCGGGAGCAGGCAGCCATCCAGGGCCGGGGGAGATGGGAGTACTGCCCGGAGACAGCGGGCGAGATGAAATGACCTCCCAGGCCCCTAAGGGTCCTCCTGCACTGGCCCCCAAGGCTTCACGTGTACATGGTGCTGCCTCGGACCTCCATCCGGAGAGAAACCTGACTAATTACATGCCCCCCAACCTTCTTTTCTGCCACTCCAACCCCACCCCACTCCCTGGCCCCTGGCTGCCCTCCTCCCCACCCTACATGGTCTCCCCAAAGCTGCTCCTGCCCTCTGGGCTTCGAGGGCCAGCGGTGTGAAATCAATCCAGATGACTGTGAGGACAACGACTGTGAGAACAATGCCACCTGTGTGGACGGGATCAACAACTACGTGTGCGTCTGCCCTCCTAACTACACGGGTAAGGTCCCCTGGCATCTGTGCACGGTGCTGGGCCAGCTATCGTGCGCTAAAGATTACTCTTTTCTGAGCTTCTTTCAGGGCCCCCGCCCTCCCCCCCTGTGGACAGACGTGAATCCCCCAAACCCGGTGCTGTGCCAGGAGGGGCTTCCCAGAGGCCTCTCTGCTTGTCAGCCCCTCCTAATCCCCCCCTGCACATCACTAGCTCCTCCTGGCTTTGAAACAGGTTCCCAGGGCACTCGCAGCTGTCTGCTCCGCTAGCTGATGGCCATCCCCTCCTTTGGGAACCCCAGAGACCCAGTGGTGGTTGAGGCCAGCGAGAGGTGTTTGCATTACATTTCTGCTTTGTTCAGGTCTAGTCTGCTTTCTCTGGAAATTTACACTTTCTCGACACTCTGCTAGTTGCTGAGGATACAAAAATGACCAAGACAAAGTTCCCTCTCCTAAGAAGCTCATCATCAAGTAGAGAGAGACAGTATTCAGTAGAAAGAGAATATAACACCTGTAAGCCCCAGGGGGTCATGGTATCACAGAGGAAGAACCTAACCCAGCCAGAAAATCAAGGAAGGCTCCCCACAGGTTATTCCTCGGGATAATCATCCTACCTACCCACCCCCAAAACACAGCACCTTTATTTCCTATATTAACAGTCCCTGATGAGAATAGTTAAATAGACTAGATGATGAAGCAAAATGCCACCCAGTGGTATGAGCACAGCCTCCTTTGTTATAGGATCAACCCGAAGTGGCATATCCCAGAATGGAATTCCATAAATTCCGTGAGTTCTTTGAGGAAAAGCCTCCAGGAGCAAAAAGTTGGAGCAGTACTGCATGTAATAATACCTCCCTTCCACATGATACAAAGCAGCCTATCAGAGGTTCTGACAATTCTTGCTTGAAAGAATGCTATTTAACTTTGTTTAACCCAGCAAGTCCCAAATTTATGTGAAGTCAGAACTTCCCTCCTACCCTACCCAGAACTCCTTCCCAATGCAGACTTTGTGTGTTGCGAGAAGCACATTTTAGGAAATAGCAACCTAAGGCAAGGATGAAAACAAGGACCAGGCACCCCAGGGACTGCTGTGCTCTACCCTATTGGCACCTGGCTTGACATCAGGAATGAGGTAGGAGATGGGAATACACAGACGATGATTAGAGGCAGTCCTGAGGCCTATAGCGAAGGAAGCCCAATAGCCCCCATTGTCCCTCAGGACCCTGTGCCTTATGCAGACCCCTGGCCCGATGGCCAGGTATCCCCCAAGCACACTCTTGGGACTGTGGTAGAGGACGCCAAGGCCAAATGAGAAAACCACCTGCTAGTCCTCAGCCTCCCGGAGTCCCAGGGAAGGCTTTATGTTGGAGCAAAGTGCAGGGATGGCCTGATGGTCTACTCCTCTACATCTTCCACCTTCCCAGAGAGCAGTTGTAGCCGAGCGTTAAGTTAGCAAGAGGCAGCACTTACTATGCATCTACTGTATACAGACCACTGAATTAGCTACTAGGGATACCAAAAAGTCTACCAAAAAGTCTAAAAGTAGGCTCTCGAGGGGCATCTGGTCTACCTAGATGAGAGGAGTTATCATATAGCGTTAAATCGTTGGCCCAGAAAAATCTGCTCAGTACCAGAAGAGGGACAGTAAAAATCCCAGCAGTTAAAAAAAGAAGGCAAAAGGACTCAAAATAGGCTTTGGGGCAAAGGAAGGGCATGAACTGAATTTATGGTAGGCAAATGGGCAGTGGAACGGGGGCTGAGGAGACACTGAGGTGGCTTCCTGCCCCAGTTGAATAGCATGGCCTGTGTCTGCAGTTAACTGAAGTGCATCTCTACCTGTGGATGGGATGTCATGGTTTTCTCTGTCCCAGAAAATGCTAGTCCCACACAGAAGCTTGTCTGCCTCTCTGGGCCTCTCCAGGAAGTGAGGAAGAGGAAACGGCTTATAAAGAACACAGTGCCCTCTGTGGTCTTGAGTGGCTGGCAAAATGAGGGTAGGGTAGGGGTCAGCTTGCCCCTTTCACAGCACAGAACAGACTCTGGGGCTGCTTTTGTCATCCATTTCCTCCCCAGCCACCCTCAGGACCTTCCTCTGCCCTGTCCCAGTAGCCTTCTCTGTCCATGTTCCCACCCCCACCTCTGAGAGAAATTCCATGGGTGAAGTTTTCCTCTATTAGATCACTCTCCACCTGGCTTGACCACGTGGAATTTAGGGGAACCCAAAGCTCAGGGGTGCTTCTGCCACTGCCCTCCCCCCTGCTGTCCTGTCTCACTCAGCTCCACATTCCCAGAATACATCTCAGATGGTGTGAGCCTTGGGAGCTTATTATGGAAGTGCCATCCCTGGGTATTTATGACCCATTAGGCATTCCTTGGCACGATGAATTTCAAAGGGAGTGTATTCAGAGACCTAAACTCCAAAATTCCTTTCATAGTTTCTTCTCTGAGAAAATCCAGGGGGCTTACTTATCTACAGCAGGTGGACTATGCTAAGCCATGTCTGCTCTTCCAGGAAGCCTCTGGGTTTCCACAGAGTTTACATCTGTGGTCACACATCTCTCTGTTACAGTCACCTACTGATTTGTAGATCTGCCCCCCTAGGCCATGGGGAGGACAAGACCGGGCCACTGTTGTGTCCCTAGTACCTGTCACGGTATCTACCACACAAGGATGTGGAATGAAAAAAAACAATTAAGCATAGCCCGAGGTCAGGGGCTAGCGTCCTATGGTTTCAGCTGCAACAGCCCCTGAACAATCAAGTCAAACAACCAAAGGTTGGTGCTAGGACAGTGTCCAGGGGAAATGCTAGAGTCTTCCCAGTGCCACTGCTAGGGAGACTGAGGCAGAGGTACAGGAGAAAGGATACGCCGAGAGAGTGAGTGCAGGACGCCTGAGATCCATGACCTCCTGGATGACAGGGCTCGATGGATCTGACCTGCTAGCCAGGGTCTCCTGGGCACCTGACCTTTCTACCCACCCCCACAGGTGAGCTGTGCGACGAGGTGATTGACCACTGCCTGCCCGGGATGAACCTCTGTCAGCATGAAGCCAAGTGCATCTCCCTGGACAAAGGATTCAGGTGAGGCTTGGCTTTGGGTCCCCAGCAGCATAGGGTCCTGAGGTCTCTGCCTCCAGTGGGGCCCTCTCCATTCTCTCCCTCTCCTGATCTCTCTCTGCCTGTTACTTGTTCATTACCATGTGCTCCTCTGTGTCTCTGACTGATCATGGTCTAATTCTTTCAGTCTCTTCGTTTCCCTATGCATGTGCGTCTGTCTCTGTCCCTTTGTGGTTCTCTCTCTTTGTAAGTCTGTCCCTTTCTCTCTGTGTGTCTATAGACAGACAGACAGATGAAGATAAAGATATCCTCTCTTTCCCTTACCCCTCTCCTTCCCCTCCTGCTCCCCCTCCTTCCTCTCTCCCCACCCCACCCCCTCCAACCCCAGCATAGCTTTCCTTTCCAGGGCTAGTATAGTAGAACAATCCCACTGAAGAAACTGAGTCTGAAGGGTATTTGGTCACCTTCCTTGTGTGTATCCTTCACAGCGTTCTGCCCTCTGTGGCTCCAGCGAGTTTGCCAGCTTATGCACCTGTGTATGTTGGGGGGCCAGGGAGGGGAGAGGAAGCACTGACTGGGTTCAGCAGCCATGGCCACTGATGGAGCTGTCTCCTTGGTGAGCAGCAGAGCCCACAGGAGCTCAGGGAGCACAGGAGCAATTCTAAGGGTGGAAGGAGAGTCTGCCTCAGGAGAAAGCACCAGTTCCAGAGCCTGAGCATTAAATGACACCCCCTGGGAAATCACTCCCGGGCTCTGTCCCTACTTCCTCCCCCACCCCTCCTTCATGAAAACATGTACCATTGCCTCTTCTGGAGAAAACCCTGAGATCCTTGAGTCTGGGGTCATCTGACATCAGTAGGGACATCCCAGAACCCTAGGGCTAAGAATAGTCTCCCCTAAACACTCTCCCAAAGCTGCCTTGCACACACAGTTGTCTCCCCTTGTCCCCAACAGGCTCTGTCTAACACTGAAGGGGGGGTGGGAGCCTCTAGCACCAGAGAATCTGGGGGAGCATGCAGACCAGAGCAGCTGGGGGCACCCCAGATGAGCCTTCAGCAAAGGTATCTGAAGTGACTCCACAAGAGTCACCCCTAAAGATGAGGCATGTGGGTCTGGAGCTCCATGCCTATGCTGACAAATCTTTAAAAAGAATCCTGACCAGACTTTCATCCAGTAGCATCTCCAGCCTCTGGAGCTCTGGATCTAGATGGCTCTAGATCTGTCATCAGTTTGAGTCTGTCCAGCTTTCAGTCATAAGGCAGAGAGTTCCCAGACTCGGAGGAGGGTTTTTGAGACTATGATGCTATGCTTCAAAGCTTAGCACTTTGTGGAAACCCAGGATTTTAGAAATCCTGAGGCTAATGACATCATAAAATCACAGAATCTTAGGGACTTAGGAACTGTGGACTCTTTGATTCATAAATCTCCAAGACCTAAGAACTAGAGAACTCTTAATGATCCTAGAATCTAAGAATTATGGGTTCTAGTTGTTGTCCCTTAGTGAGCCGAATCTTCAGTCCTCAAATTCTCACTGTGATAAGTGCTGTGGGTATTGCAAGAGGTTTCTGATTCTCTCCCTCTTGAGGCCCTTTTCATGGACCTGAGGGAGGAAAATTTGACACAAAACAAATGTGTAGAAAGAAGGCATTTCTGGGGCCCTTGATTCTGGCTCTGAGTGTTGATGGGGAGCTGAGGGGAGAGGAGAACCTGCTAAAGCAAAGGGAAGTCCTCACACAAGTTAGGAGGTGAGCTGAGATGGGTGGGATTTGAATGAGCTTGGGGGGGGGATGGTGGCCACCAGCAGGAGAAGGGTCTAGAATAGGTGAAGGTGAGAGAGTGACATGAGCATGTCTTATCTGGTGTTTTCCTTTCCTATTTTGACATCTCAAGCCTAGAGCTCACCTACAGCATCACCAGGGAAAATGCTAGAGGCCTGTTAGGGCTTCTGGTTTTGCTGACAGCAAAGGAAGCTTCAGTCCTTCCATGCCCGTACCCTCATTCAAATCTGCCTTATCTGCTCTGCTCCCCTCTCAGAGGTGCCACGTGGGCTCTTAGGTAGTTGAGCTGCTGGAGTGTAAGTAAGGGTGAGGGATGCCTCCCAACCCCCCAACCCCACTTTTCCTACTCCTGGATTTGGCTTCAACTCAGGGCTGCTCTTTAACTGAAGGAAGAGGCCAAGGGGAGGCAGAGATGCATAAAATAAACCTGAACCCAAAGCAGAGCAGGCTGGACTGACAAGCAGAGTGCTCTGGGGGTGCCTACGAGGGGCAATGGTGGTGACCAGGCATCTGAGCTGTGAAGGATAGTAGAAGATCCATAGCTGGAAAGCAGGTCAGTGGCATTCCTCGAGCTCAGAGGACAATGGCTTGACAGAGCACAGTGAGCATGAGAACTGGTCCAAAGTGGTCCATCCAGGGTATAGGTCTGGGGTTGGGGTGTTAGGGACTTGGGACCAGAGACATAAGCAGGGCCAGAGATCATGATCCTCTGGTACTTGTCCCTAGAAACCTCACTCTACTATAGCCAAGGCCCCTTGAGTTCTAGGGGAATATAGAATACGGAATAGGAAGAATATGGAATATAGCAGGAAACCAGTCTAGCTTTCAAAATCCTGAGATGATATAGTTATGCACAGTGTATCCTAGCATCTTGAAGAGGTCTACGGGCCAGCTCAATAATGTGAATTTTATTAAAATGCATTTAAATCAAAAACCCCTTCTCCCAGGGCAACATCTCCTGATCTTAACCCTCCTCCCCTTCCCTCCCTTTCCTCTCCTCTCCTCTCCTCACCCATATCCCAAGGCAGGCTGCAGGGACAGTAACAAGAGACGTGCAGCCAATGCAACCTTTGCCCAAATTTGAAAATGCTTATCCTTGAAGATTTCCTTGTATGATGTTCTAATGAGGATTCAACAGAACAGAGAAAACTATATAACTATCTGTGATATAAACACATAATCATAATGTACCAATCATAATGTACCAAAACCCAGAAAATAATGAAGCAGACTGCCCGTGAACACTGGGAGTCACAATGACAGAAACACAGATCACGATGATTACCGCGCGCGGAGGACTTCCTGTGCGTCAGGCGCAGGGGCCTATCTCCCGTCACACTCCGCAGTCTTAGGCTGTAAAACAACTATCCGCTTGCTAGGCGGGGGCTGAGGTGCCACGAGGTGAAGCAAGCTACCCATGTACTCACACGCAGAAACAGCTGGGGCTGCGAGTCAGTCCAGGCCTGGCTGATTTATTAGCTAAATCCGGAGACTCTTGGGACCAAGGACGTCACTTGGTTATGCCCCCTTGTTCAGAATCAAAGTCCTATACAGAACAAAATTATCTAAGCCTTACACTTTAGAAGAAAGGCAAGGGGAAAACATTTGAGAACATTAGGAAATGCAGGTGATACCCCCAGATGCTTCTCTTTAGCAGATAAAGAAATGGTGCCTAGATCCTTGCTAAGGGAAGCGAGGTGCAGGACCCAGCGGCAGCCACTTCCCAGGGGAGCTTGTGGGGAGTGCGGATTCCCAGGCGCCACCCAGACTCCCTGCTCAGAAGCGGCATTTTAACAGGATCCCCCGGGGGCTTTGTTGGAGGAGCACAGGTGTGAAGAGGGCTGTAGTGTTGTCAGGAAGAAGGACGGGAGCACATTCACCTCCAGATCTGCATGATGTCTGCGAGGGAGCATGGCATCCCCTCGTGGAGACCTCCTCCGCCATCTTGACCCCATGCCTAACTGGCTGGATCTTACCCTGCAAGGACTGAGTGGCGATTGTTGCCTCGGAGAGGCTCATGCGGCTTGAGTTGTTCTGCAGGTACTTCTTAGAATTCAGGAGACACAAAGACAAATGCCTCCAGGGGCCAGCCTTAACACTAACAGGGTATACTGAGCATATGCCCCCACAAGAGGCTTGCCCAACGGTCTCTTTAAAAACTGGGGTGGAGTGTGGGCTATGACATGAAAGTTTGCACTTTCTGGGGCAGCGGTAGATCACATACTTCAAATTTACCCTTCAAATAAGTAAAGGTGAACAGGTCAGATCTTAGCCGATCTCAGTTTCTGAATGCAGGCTCGGTGGATCCTCAGATTCTAGAACTTGTCCTCCTCCGGCGACCCCCCACGCCCCAAGCGTCTTAGCTAGCCATGAATCCACAGCACACACCATGCTCTGCCCACAACCCCAACAATGCCGGGATCCACTTGTAATTCTACTCTATCCACTCCTACAGGGGGAGGAGCAAGGAGAGGGCGCAGGGAGGACCATCCCTTTGTCCTGATGCTTCTCGGGCCAGGCTCCTCCGTCCCATGTGTATTCAGAGGTCTCGCTTCCCTCTCCGCCGTGGCCACCTGTCCCACCTTCCTCCTCTGACCTGCATAGGCTGTGGTTATCATCTGTACCCCGCCCAGTAGAATTCAGCTGCCGGGCCCGAAGGGGTATGGGGGCTCCTGGCCTGCGGCCGGCAGAAGCGCCCAGAAGTGTTGGTGTTCGCGTGTGCCTGTGTGTGCCTCCGCCCCTGCGAGTAATGCAGTGCCTTCAGGTCTCTTTCTTGCTGGGCTGTGCGTGCACCTGGGTGCACCTGGGCCAGCAGGTGGTGGGGGGCTGCAGCACCCACCCTTCTCACCGAGCGCCGCTGCCGGCTCCTAACACAGGAGCCCCCACATGACGCAAGCAGACATCAACCTGCGGGGGGACCCAGAGCCCACGGATGGCTGGTGAAGCCGACCGTGGGCCAGGCTCCAGGGAGCCCTCAAGAAGTGAGAGGGACTTAGGACCATGGGGGCACAGAGAAGACAGGAGGCCCCCTGGAAGCCAGCCTGGCCCACAGAAGAGCCTTGCTCTGCTGCGTTCCAGGTGCGAATGTCTCCCCGGCTACGGCGGGAAGCTCTGCGAGGTGGACAACGATGATTGCGTGGCCCACAGCTGCCGCCATGGGGCCCAGTGCATGGATGCGGTCAACGGCTACACGTGCGTCTGCCCCCAGGGCTTCAGGTATGGTGGATGGGGCCCTCAGGATGGGGCCTGCAGGCTGGGGGACTGGTGGGCTAAGGCAGGCAGGGGAGACACCCACTCCTAGGCAGCACCAGCCCCTGGCCTCCTGGGCCTCCTTGGAAGGTCAGCCCTTCCATGTCCGAGAGCAGATGTTGTGAAGCCCATGTGATAGACAGAGAGAAGAGCCATCCAGGGCAACTGGGCGGGAGTTGGACTTAGGATCCAGCTCACATGATGTCAAGCTTGGGCATGATTCCTTCCAACGGAAGATGCTACCATCTCGGAGCTCAGCTTACGAGGTGGGGGTAGTCACACGGTCACCCTGGCAGGGATCTTCTTTTTAGGCTGGGGAACAAAAACATTATTGTGCCCGAATGGTAGGAAAATGGAGGTAAACAGGAGAGCTTGGGGTTAATCACTGGAATCAGTGAAGCCGGAAGAGAAAGAGGAAATGGGAGGCACTGGCCAAGTGGTCAGGAGAGGTCTGTGGGGTATGTGGAAGGAGAGGCTGGGTTCCAGCCCTAGCGCCCACACTGACTGGAAGGGAAAGGTGCAGGGGGCACTGGAGGGGAGGCGGGGACCAGACTGAAGGTGGGGGGTGGGGTCGGATTGGGGACAGTACATTAGTACTCGCTGCATGGCATAAACCCAACGATGCAAATGACCTTTGGTCACAGACTCTGAGAAGGAATCATGAAGAAGCCCAGTTTTTCCAAAGCCTGAGACCATCTAGATGAGGCTTATGAAAATTCCTGAGCCCCACCCCAGAGCTACTCAATTAGAATGGGGCGGGGGGAGAGGGGCTAGGAATCTGCACTTTCTTTTAATGTTTTTAAATTGTGGTAAGATATATATAAGGTAAAATTTACCATCTAACCATGTTTAAGTGTATGGCTCTTTGGCCTTAAGTACAGCCAACACCACCATCCATCTCCAGAACTTCTTTAATCTTGCAAAACTGAAACTCAGTTAAACACTAACTTCCCATTCCCCCTCCCTACGGCCCCTGGTAACCACCATTCTACTTTCTGACCCCATAAACTTGACCACTCTTAAGTACCTCATGTAAGTGGAACCATATAGTATTTGCATTTTTGTGACTGCTTTATTTCACTTAGCATAAGGTCCTCAAGGTTCATCCACCTTGTAACAGGTATCAGAATGTCTTTTTTCAAGGCTGAATAATATTCTATTGTATGCATATACCACATTTTGTTTGTCCATTCGTCTGTGGATGGATGAAAAGCTGTGCTTTTAACAAATTTATCCCAGATGATTCTGATGACACTAAAATGTGGGGACCAGCACTCATCCAACCCCATTATTGTAAAAATGGGGAAGTGGGGGCTTAGAGAAGGAAAAGGGCTTGCCCCAGTTGGTGGGAGGGCTGGAACAAGTCCCAGTTCCCATCTTTCTTCCCTCTCTCTGCCAGTGGCTCTTTGGCCCAAATAACTATGACTGTCTCCTCTCCCTGTCCTCCTCTCACCCCTCCCCCATCCTCTCTCCCCTCCTCCCAGTGGGCTCCTCTGTGAGCAGCCCCCACCCATGGTCCTGCTTCAGACCAGTCCCTGTGACCAGTACGAGTGCCAGAATGGGGCCCAGTGCATCGTGGTGCAGCAGGAGCCGACCTGTCGCTGCCCCCCGGGCTTCGCCGGCCCAAGGTGCGAGAAGCTCATCACCGTCAACTTTGTGGGCAAAGACTCCTACGTGGAACTAGCCTCTGCCAAGGTCCGGCCCCAGGCCAACATCTCCCTGCAGGTGCGCCTAACTCCAACATGCCCCCAAGCTCCGACTGTTCTGAGAATAGCCGCTGTTATTCGGCCAACTCCTGACTGGCTCTCACTGCAGATGGCAGCCCCCACTCCTGTTCATTTACCTAGAAAATACTCACTCAGATGTTTTATGTCAGGAACTGTGCTGGCCCTGGGGATTCGATGGTGGACAAGACAGACAGCGCCCCATGTCTAGGGCAAGATGACAAGCAGAGGGCCAGTGCCAACCCTGGGTGTTGTGGGAGCACGTGGGTGGGACAGAGCTCCTCACCTGCTGGGAAGAAGGAGGAAGGTTCCCCAGAGGCAGTGATAACTAAACTGAGATCTGAAGGACAAGTAGGAGTTTGCCTGGAGAAGGATAGAAGGGTGAGGGGATGCCGTCTAGCCTGAGAGATCAGCACGTACAAAGGCCCAGAGGCACAAACAGGCAGGGCATTTTTCAGGGAATGAAAAACCATTCAGTATGAACCAAATTCTTTTCTAACTAACTCCTTTCAGGCTCCCTACCTGTGGACCTGAGCACATTTATTCCAAAATGCATCTCTGGGTAACCTAAATGCCTTCCTCTCTGTGTCCCACCGACCCAGGGACCCGAATTTTGGGTCCCAGCTTGCCAGAGCAGCACGTATGCCGCACACGTCCAGAGGTCCCATCAGACCATCTGCCCCATTTCCGGGCCTTCAGGCTGCAACTGTGCTGGGTGGTGAGCGCTGACAGGCTAGTCTGAGGATCCCACCCCTGAAGCATGGTGCCCTCTGGGCGGCAGCTTCTGAAACCAGGGGCTCTCGGCCTTGGCACCACATGAGAATCACCTGGAGAACTCCTAAAATTATATTTGCCGGGGCCCCATCCCCCAGAGGTTCATCTGGAGTCGGTTTGGGGTAAAGCCTGGACATGGGTGTTTTTAAAAATTCCCCAGATGACTCTTTAACACAGGGCCTAGTTCATAGTAAACACTGAATGCAGTGGTCATTGTTAGCATTTTGTTCATAATTATTATCATACTTTATACAGAGAGACTGAGGCCCTGACAGGGGCAAGGATTTGGGTGGGATCACATTGTATGCTAGTGGGAGAGGCGATTGGAACTCAAGGCTCCTGACCCCACCCCACCCCCACACACAATAAAATAATATACATGTTATATGTAATAATCTAATATTTATGTACATAAACAAAGTGGCACATAGTGGGTCCTCAGTAAATATTTACTGAATTGAATTACTCGATCAGCATTTGCTGGAGTGTAAGTGTATGCCCTCCTGGAAATTCCCAGACTAGACAGGGACATGGGTTCAGATCTGGGGTTCATCCTGAAGATGCCGCCTACAAGAGGTCTCTGTGGGGAGGTGGGGTTGGGGAGGCTAGGCCTCAGGGGAGCCCTAACCCACCTGCCTCTCTCCAGGTGGCCACGGACAAGGACAACGGCATCCTTCTCTACAAGGGGGACAACGACCCCCTGGCGCTGGAGCTGTACCAGGGCCACGTGAGGCTCGTCTATGACAGTCTGAGCTCCCCACCAACCACGGTGTACAGGTAAGAACCCAGCCCCTCCCGCCTGCCTGCCCCCCGCGCCGAGACAGGATGCCCAGGGCCGCTCTGAAGCCTCTTCTCCCTGCCCCCTGCACACTCGCACACTGTCCCTCGCTCAGAGCTGCGGGGGGAGGGGGAGGGGGAGAGGCGGTGCTGGAGGAAGAGGCAGGAGCTCGTTACCATAAGATAAATGGCCAGCTGGCTACTGTGCGGGAGCGCGTGCGCCAGTGGGGATGAGGCCGCTTAATGAGGTGCTCTTTTCAAAATGTCATCCTGATCTTTTATTAGTTTAAGAAAGAAAACAGGGGGAGACTAGCATGCAACTCAAGGGGAAGAAATCTCAGAGCCCTAGGGAGCAGGACTATTCCTTAAGTGACTTTCAAACTGTCCTGAAGGATGGTTTTCCCCTAAACTTCAGTCTTTCCAACAGTCACCCTGATTTTTACGTAAAACTGTAAAAACACGGTATGTCAGCCATACTGTTACATAGCAGGCTACCTTACATCAGCTTTTAAATCTGCGCACTCTTTACATTTAGCTTCATCTTAAGTAAGATCATCGGTGAAATCACAGATATGCTAGATTTTTTCTTCTACCCCTCAGTAAAATAAATACTAAACTGTTAGTTATATTTTTGTAATAATTATAAAAACCACCAGTAAAATGAGAAATATTTGTGTTACACCTCAAATCACATAAACCTGCCTGTGGCAGGAAAGCCATTTCTTGGGGGGGAAGCACGTCCACGAGAGAGACCCACATCCAGAGGCCAGCCGTCCCCTCCGGAAGCAGAAGCACATTTGACTGGGATTGGTGAAGGGTAGCAGTTTTCAGACTTTTTTTCCCAGGAACTAAGTCATTTAGTCAATCACAACTTTATATTGAAATCAAAATACTAAATACACGGAAGCAAAACTGTCCCACAGGTCTGAGAGGGAGCAAGGTTTCTTCCCTCACACTTACTCTCATGAAGGCCCCCAAAACAACTCCAACAGCCCAGCTGAAAACCATCGGTTTAAACCAGTGGTTCTCAAAGTGGGGTCCCAGAGCAACAGCCCCAGTCAGGAACTTGTCAGACATGCACGTCTTCAGACCTCACCCCAGGCGTACCGACAGAAGCTCTGGGGTAGGGCCCAGCCATCTGTTTTAAGGAGCCTCCAGGTGATTCGATGCCCAAGTCTGAGAAGTGCCAGCTTACACAGAATGCCCAAGCCTGAGAAGGCCATTTGTGATGGGTTTTGAAGAAAGGGTGGAGTTACATGAGCAGGGAGAACAGGTGGGCAAGCGGGCTGGGAGAAGAGCAATGACAAGCCTAAGGGACAATACAAAGGGGTGGACCAGAACAGAGGTGCACAGCAGACGGTGGGTGGAGGGAACCGGCCAGGTTAGGACAGTTGGGTACAATGGACACCAGGAGAAGGAGCTCACCTCAGGAGCCTCAGAGTTCCCTGGAGTCAGGGCCTCCCAGCATCTATGTTTCTGGAGCACTGGTCATGGTCATGGGCCTGTGGTGTCAGACACACCTGAAATCCTGTATTTAAAATGGGTTTGTTTCCAAACAGTCTTCTCGGTGGCAGGACTGTTGGTGTCCCAGTAGGGAGCTCTTTCACGCACTCTGGAAACATCACTTTCCTCCCCTGTGCACTGTGCATAATCGCAGGATGCATTTCAGGGGGTGTTGCTGAGGGCTGGGGGGTGAGAAAGTGCTTGGCAAAATGAGCCTTGATGTGGGCATGTCACAGACAGAAGGTGACAGCCAGGCTTCAAGAGAGGCTGGGCTCTGTCCAGAGCTGGGAGCTGGGAGCCCGCACTGACGTTAGCTATTGGGGGGTGGTTCGGTAAAGGGGTGATGTTGTCAGTGAGAATGCTGGAACCCTTTGCTGACGCCTGCCTTGGGATGTGAGAATGAGATGGGAACCTAGGGAATTGCTCTCTCCTCCAGCCCTTGTCAGGGAGCCAGGGGGCTGAGGGTCAGCGCGGAGCCCTGGGGAGACCCCAGGCTCTTTCTCTTACCCATGGGACAAACCCAGTGAAGGATGCCCATGCCTAGGTCCGCATGCCAAGCCTAGCGACAGACCCTTAGTGTCCTGCAGCCCACAGACTAAAGGGCCCGAGGCTCCAGAAATCCTGCATTTAAAATGGGTTTGTTTCTAGACTTCTCGGCGGCGGCACCCAATGTGCCCCAGCAGTGCACTCTTCCACTCACTCAGTAAACATCTCCCAGGTGCCTTGTGTGGGCCGGGTCCTGGGCGAGGGATGGGGGACACAGAGTTAGACAAAACACAGTCCAGGGAAGAAGGCAGTAGTCACACAGGCAGAATAAAATAGGTCTCCCAGAAGACACTGGTACATGCTATGGGACATCGAAGGAGCAGACATTTCTGCTCTGAGGATCAGGAAAGGCTCCCTGGAAGAAGAGGTAACATTTGAGCTGAGGCTGGGGCCAGGGCTGACAAGCACTTCCACAGGTGGAGAAGTGAGAAGGCCCTGGGCGGGGGAGACCCCATCAGTATGCACAGAAGCCATGCTGGGGGGGGCTGGGGTTAATGGAGGGCACAGAGTCGCTGTGGTGACCTTGGGCCATCTAGAAAGGCCTCCTCAGCCTCAGGGCCAGGGTGTCAAAGCAAAGCTGATTTACTCAGGGGAGCTGGCAGCTTGCAAAGTTCTGCCCACTGAGGGCCCCGGACAGCCCGCTGAGTGAGAATGAGCAGTCGGCACTCCCAGCAGGGATTTACAGGCCTGTGGCAGCTGGACACTGAACCACCTTTATGGGGTGCCTGATATTTTTCGTCTGCCCAGCTGCATTCACAGGTGGGGGTGCTGGTGCTTCAAGGTCCGACTCCAGGCCCTAAGGCAAACACCCAGAAAAGCCTGTCTGAGCCTCTACCAGCGTGGGAACAGGCTGCACTATTCCTGAGTTCCAAGACTTGTCAGAGGGACTTCAGGCATTATTTCCTACGGCGAGGCCTAGGGGCCAAGCGAGGTAACAGACTTGGGGCAAGTGGACGGTGGTAGCCTGGAGAGCATAGGCTTTGTCCGAAGGGACCGTTGACCTCAGCTCCAGCAGATCCTGCCATGTGAGAATGTAGATCATCAAGAGAAGCTAGAAACTCGGGGTTTCTATGTGAAATAGCTCAGTGTTGAAATGTGGGCCACAAGAGAGCTCTACCTAGCCCACAGTGCATGCTCCCCGAGTCTAAATTACCACAATCCCATCCACTGCCAAGGTCTTTGTCTCACTTGCCCCTCACCACAAGCCCCAGGCAAGCGTCATCACTCCTATTTTAGGGATGAGAAACATGATGCTCAGATGAAGTCTTTGGCCCCAAAGCACACAAGCCAGTAAAGTGGCAGAGCTGAGATTCAAACCCAGGTCAGGCTCCCACCAGAACCCACTTTCCCACCATGCTGAGGCATGAAGGCCAGGCAGGGCGAGAGAGAGTGGGACCAGGCAGCCAGGGTCCAGGAGTTGGGGGCGGGGCGGGGGCGGGGCAGGGGGCGGGTGTCCCTGCAGTGTGGTCTTGAGGTCTCAGGCTACTGCTTAACTGAAATCCGAGGGACTATTTGGTCCTGTGAGGCTCTGTCGCCACCTAGTGGCCACAACTCGGCATCCAGGTGAACATGCCCAGTACCTGGAGGAATGACGGTTCATCCCACAGTGGAGGAGAGTCCTGTGGCTTCGGAGCTTGGGTTTCAGTCTTGCCTGCACCACTTCCACTTTAAGACTGTGAGCTGGACACCTTAAGTCTCTGAGCCTTAGGCCTCTTATCTCTAAAATGGAGAAAAAATTGTACCTCCCGTGTGGGGGTTGTTAGGGTTAAATGAGAGAATGCAGGTCAAGTGCTTAGCACAGAGTAGCACAGTGCCGAGCCCTGTAAAGCACTCGATATTAAAAGCAGAAGAGAGGGGGCGCCTGGGTGGCTCAGTCGTTAAGCGCCTGCCTTCGGCTCGGGTCATGATCCCAGGGTCCTGGGATCGAGCCCCGCATCGAGCCCCGCATCGAGCCCCGCATCGAGCCCCGCATAGGGCTCCCTGCTCGGGGGGAAGCTTGCTTCTCCCTCTCCCACTCCCCCTGCTTGTGTTCCCTCTCTCGCTGTCTCTCTCTCTGTCAAATAAATAAATAAAATCTTTAAAAAAAAAAAAGAAGAAGAAGAAGAGAGGGGCATCTGGGTGGCCCAGTCGGTTAAGTGTCTGACTCTTGGTCTCAGCTCAGGTCTTGATCTCAGGGTTGTGAGTTCAAGCCCTGTGTTGGGCTCCACCTGGGCAAGGAGCCTACTTTAAAAAAAAAAAAAAAAAAAAGGAAGGAGGGAAGGAAGGAAGGCTCTCAGAGCCCAGTTTTCTCCCCTGTAATCCCTACGTGCCTCTCCAGGAGACTAATTATGGGGCTTGGAACCACAGTAGGAAAAGGGAGAAAAAAGTAAGAAACGGAGCCATCCTGATTTGTGAGATAATGGTGAAAAACCAGGGACTGCAGCACCACCTACCCCAAACCTCCAGGGACCTACAGTCTGAAAACCACTGGCTTTAGGCATCACTTCCAGGACCCTATTAACCCATGAGCACCTACTGGCACAGGTTATGGGAAGTTTGGATTTGGAACCAGTCCTGACTTTGAACCTCAATCCCACCACTTCCTAGCAATGTGTCCTTGGTCAAGTTATTTAGATTTCCTCTCTGTAAAATGGGGCTCATGAGTGCCTTCCTCAGAGATGGTTATGAGCCAGTGGAAGCAGACAGAAACCCAAAGCCCTGGGCAGCTGGAAGGTTGCGAGTCAGTAGAAGAGTTCTTCCAGGGTCCATGAACCTGCCCCCCGACTCTGTCCCTCCTGCCACACCCAGCTCCTGCAAGCCCAGGGTCAGGGTAGAGGAGATCATCATTCCACCTTCGAGCGCTTGCTAGGTATCAGGGACCATGTGTTGTCCATCAGAACATGGCAAGGTCGACATCCGCACCATCGCTGTAGTGTATAAGTAGAAACTCGGGTTTACGGAGTGATGGGACTTGCCCAGGATCCCTCAGTTGGAAGACCCATGTGAGACCAGACCTCTCCACTCCCGAGCATGAACTAGCAGAAGAGTATAGCTGGAGGAAGGGGCCTGCCTAGGACTCTCCGTTGTGGGAATCAGAGGAGACCCTCCACAGACCCAAGTGGCTGGGGCACTGGGGAGCCTAGCACTTAATTGGGGGCAGGGGGGTGGCTCACATCCACTCTGCTCCCGCAGCTCCTACCAAACCACTGTCTCCAGGCTGGGGCCCTCAGTGGAGGTGTACCAGGGCCTGGGCGAGCACAGGGAGCACAGGAAGGAAAGCAGCAATGGCCTTGGAGCCCGTGGCCAGGAAGGGGTTAGTGGTGTGTGTTTGCTATGTCTGTGTGTGTTTATAATGGAAAAGCAGCTGCCTCAGACTCCCTGAATTTTATTATTGGAAGGGAATGCCAAGACCACCCACCCAGAGTCCCAGCCTCTCTACGACTCCCTGACAGGTGGCTACCCAGCGTTAGTTACACGGCTCAGGGGATGGGGAGCTCATTCAGGACAGCATCAGTTTACCAAATGGTTTGGGGATACAGCTGCATGTTCTTGCATGTATGTTTAAAAACTGTGCTAGGATTCCAAGTCAGAAGCTTGTAGTCTCTGCACCCCAGCCCTCATTCCCCCACCCACCATCGACTCGTCTGTGGGAACACAGGTCTCCGCCTTATCCTCAGCTCACTACTCAGAGTAGTCAGAAGCTACTGAAATAGAACAGCTCTACCTTCGTATGACTTCTTGGCTCCCCATCACAAATGAGATCCTCCAATGGACTCTTAGCTACCACTCCACCCCCCGTTGCCCTATTTCTTGACCTGACCTTACACTGATATGTTGGTCGTTTGGTTTAGAGGAAAGGCTAAGGAAATGTGAGCTTCCTGAGTGTCCTGTTTGCCACCGATCCCTAGCACCTAGGACAATGCGGTTCCTAGCAGACATTCAGTGGGTGGGTGGGTGGGTGGATGGATGGATGGGAAATGGAGGATTGGAAGGGTAGAGGATGGATGGAGGATGGATGGGTGGGAGAGAAGAGAAAGTTCATGATGGGTTTGGGAGGGTCCTGAGCTCCTGCATGTCCCCCTCCACCACCACTTTCTCCCAGAGCAGGAGTCACTAGGTTTGCAGGCAATGGTAGGTTCTTACGGTTGTTAATAGTCCAACTAACACTACTGATAATGGCTCACGTTTTCCCAGGAGTTTAGAGTCTACAAAGCACTTTCAAGTACGTCCTCTGATTCAATCGTCACGGTAATTCTGTCAGGTTGTTCTCCCCCTTTTACAGACTGAGACCAGATGGGTTCTGTTTCTGAGTGGTCACAGTCCCACCAAGGGGCTAGGACAGACTGTGCTTTCTCTGCTCCACCCCAATTTAGCCTCTCTTCCCCCAAGTATTTTCCTCACCTCTTTGCTGAAATTCACTTCAGTCACTGAGGCTGCTCCTGCCTGCCAGGCGATCTGGCACGGGATCCTCTTGTTGGAGGCAGTTTACTAGGGGATTCGTCAGGGAGATCTCAAGTGGACACGGAGCCTCCGTACTCACCACCCACATTTGAATGGATAAGGCAGAGTTCAGCCGCCTCCTCAGAGGGCCCTTTTCAGAGAGGAGTACCACATTTCCAAATGCCTATCACCTGCACTCACTGCTCCCTCCCAGCCCCAGCCAAGGATCGAATTGTGGAAAGAGCAGAACTTTGGGAGTCCAAAGTTTTGCCTATGCATTCTATCTCTGGAACATACTAGCTGGGTGAACTCAGACAAATCCTTTCACCTCTCTGGGCCTCAGTCGTCTTACCTGTGAAATGGGGTATCTGACACCACTTTATAGAACAATGATGAGGGTCCAGTAATAGGAGAGAGCCATTCAGCACGATGCCTGGCTCTTGTGCTTCATCAGCCCTCACTGAGGGCCTGCTGGGACTGAGGGAGGCAACATGGGAAAGGGGCATACATGTGGGCTTTGAAGCTAGACGTACCTCAGTGTACAATCCTGCTCTAGGACTCATTAGTTGTGGGGACTTAGGAGCATTAGTTGACCTCCCTGAGCTTCTGTTTCCTCATCTTTTTTTAAAATTTCATTTATTTATTTATTTATTTATTATTTATTTATTTGTTTGAGAGACAGACAGTACCAGTGAGGGTGGGGTGGGGGGGAGAGGGAGAAGCAGACTCTGTGCTGAGCAAGGAGCCCAACCTGGGACTCGATCCCAGGACCCTGGGATCATGACCTTAACCAACTGAGCCCCCCAGGAGCCCATTTCCTTGTTTCTATAATGCTATTAACATGTGAAGCAGTGTTGTACAGTATTAGTAATCCACATACGGTAAGCATACTGCTGAAGGTGCAGGAGATGAATTTAGATGGGACAAACTATTGACACTTTGAGATCCTTTTTTTTTTCCTTATGTACTAGGAAAAATATAAATAACCCTGAAATATTCTTTTCATGGACAGTATTCTTTAGAACAATGCTAGCTTATATTCTTACTGATGTTTAAGGGGGAAATGGAGCAACTGAAGAAAAACATGTTAATAAGGGTCCTAGTGGCATGCCGTAGAGTAAAAATTGAGAAGGCGGTCTGAGGAAGGCATTTGCTTAACTCTGTTAAATTCTAGAAAGAAATGTGAATAATATAACCGAGTGCACAACCTGACCCTAGGCTGAATCTTGTACTGGAAGGGGAAAAATGCTATAAAGATATTTTTGGATCCAGTGAAAAATTAAAATTCAGCCTGATTAGATACAAGTGTGGTACCAATGTTCCAAAGTTGAAAATTGCAGTGTACTTATGTAGGAGATTATCCATGTCCTTAGGAAATGCACACTGAGGCATCTGGGGATAAGGGTAAGATATGTAACTTCTAAAGGATTCAGAAAAACTATGTACGTATGTATATACATATATGTGTATGCATGGCTATGGAGATGGACATACAGACAGAAAATAAATGATAAGCAAATGGGGCTAATAGGAGAATCTATGCGTGTAACAAGTACTCTCTGTACTGTTTCTACTTTTGCAACTTATTTAAGTTTGAAGTTATTTCCAAATGAAAAATAAAGCAAAATGCAAGTAATGTTGGCCAAGTTCATGGCCCAGTGCCTGGCTGTGGGAGGCACCCAGCAAACCCTCTCATTCTCGCCCCTTCTCTTCTGCCCAGTGTGGAGACTGTGAATGATGGGCAGTTTCACAGCGTGGAGCTGGTGATGCTAAACCAGACCCTGAACCTGGTGGTGGATAAAGGAGCCCCCAAGAGCCTGGGAAAGCTCCAGAAGCAGCCGGCAGTAGGCATCAACAGTCCCCTCTACCTCGGAGGTAAGGCCCTTCTCCCCTCCCATCTCCACCTCCTCCACCTCCACCTCCCACCCACCCTCTGTGTTTGGGTACCCACCCCGGCCTACTGGCTGGGGTTCCCCTGATCTCAGTATCCACTGCCAAAGCATATCAGGGAAGGCTTCCTGGAGGAAGTGACAACCAAGCTGATCCCTAAAGGGTAAACAGCCAGATTGCGGGGAGGAGGAGGAGAAAGGAGAGAAGACAGGCTCCTTCTGGGGAAGTACAAGTGGTTCAGGAGATGAAGATGGTGGGAATGGTGGGAAGAGGTGAAGATGGAATGGGGAGGGAGGAGATGGAGGTCAATCCAGGCCCCACCATCTGCAGACTTCAGGTCACATTCCCTCTGCTCTGCCACCATGTCAGACACTGTGAGGCTCAGGTGACACATGTAGTACGTGTTTGAGATGCAGGCCGAAAAGGAAGTAGCCACCTGGCTGGCAGAGCCTGGGCCTGAAATGCAGCCCAGGGTCTGTACTAAAAGGGTTATGTGCAAAAAAAGAAAAAAAAGTCACCAGAGCAGCTTGTTCAACAAAGAGATTCCCAAAACCTCCCTGCCAAGGAATGCCCCCCTGGAAGGCCCAGGAATATGCATTGTTAACAGCTGGTCCAGGTGCCAAGGGCCCAGGGAAAGCCTTCAGTCAAGAGCAGTCCCAGGGGGCGCCTGGGTGGCTCAGCTGGTTAGGCTACTGCCTTCCAGCTTAGGTCATGATCCTGGAGTCCCTGGATCGAGTCCCACATCGGGCTCCCTGCTCGGCGGGGAGTCTGCTTCTCCCTCTGACCCTCCCCCCTCTCATGTGCTTGCTCTCTCTCAAATAAAATCTTTAAAAAAAAAAAAGTCCCAGAAGGGACACAGTTTCTCCCCCCACTGAAGATCCCCAAAGTTCCACACATCAAGGCTGCTCCCCCACACCCGTTCTCTCCCAAACTCTCGCTCTCCCACCCTGTGCTCTCCAGGGCTGTGACAAGGGGCAGGGGAGGCCTGGTGGGGACAGCAGAGGAATGGGATACACCCTCTGTTCCCCGCCTGGAGGGAGTGGTCCTCCTCTGTCCAGCCACTGTGGCCCTGGGGCTAGCCAAATCTTCTCTTGTTTTCTAGAGAAGCTTGAAATAAGGGTTTCTGTGGGAAGTTTTCTATATTTAAAATGTTGGCAACAAATTCACATTTTTTTAAAGAGAGTGCAAGGCAAAGGATAGGAGCCCTTGTGTGGGACCAAAACCTGGGACCTTGGTCCCTTCCCTCTGCCTGAACAGCAGAGGCCCAGAGCTGGGAGCGCTTAACTGTGAGCACATGGAGACCTCCTTGGCGCTCTGAGGAGAGGCCTGGGCTGGTGGGTAGGGGAGGGTCTTCAGGCGGCTGTCCTGGCACCCCTCCCCCAGGCATCCCCACCTCCACGGGCCTCTTGGCCCTGCGCCAGGGCACGGACCGGCCCCTGGGTGGCTTCCACGGCTGCATCCACGAGGTGCGCATCAACAACGAGCTGCAAGACTTCAAGGCCCTCCCGCCACAGTCCCTGGGAGTGTCACCGGGCTGCAAGTCCTGCACCGTGTGCAAGCACGGCCTGTGCCACTCCGTGGAGAAGGACAGCGTGGTGTGTGAGTGCCACCCAGGCTGGACGGGCCCACTGTGCGACCAGGAGGCCCGGGACCCCTGTCTGGGCCACAGGTCAGTGTCCTGCGAGCCAGGCTCCCCGCACGGACTCAGTCCCTGCCTCTAGCCCGTCCCCACCCGAGAAGCGGCCCTGGGGAAAGCCGGAGGGAGTGCAGTCAGACCATACCCAGATTACTGTGACTGCTCAAGCGGGCAGGAGCCGCTCCCCCTTAGAGACACGGTGTGGGAGCACCTAGCTGAGAGTACCTGTCTCCGTCAAGCAGAAGGACGGTGAACTTCAGCATCCGTTTCTCCGTCTTGGAGATGTGCCTAAGACTATCTGCAGCATCGAAGCAGCAGAGGAGAGGGGGACTGTAGAAGGTTAAGAATGATGTCCGGTGTAAAGCACTCAGCCCAGTGCCTGGCACTGCCGCGGGTGGTGGCGGTGACCGTGACATTGTTAATTCAGGTGTCAGAGCAATTAAAACGTTTAGAGACTGCTTCGCTGCTTCGGAGCAGGGACCTGCCACTTGGATAGGTGACTTCTAATGCCTGTAAAATGGCCGGCCAGCCAGCCAGCCTCGTGGCCCCAGCTGGCAGCTGACTTTGGGGGATCCGAGCCTCCAGCAGGTCGGACGCTGATGCCGGGCCCCTGGGCTAGCCGGGGGCGGACCGTGGGATGGAGAAGACCTAAGGCTCCACAGCTCTGGGCGCCCCGCTCTGAGCCTGGGCCCCGGCTGCGGTGGACAGAGAAAGCCTCCGCAGCCCGCTCTCTGCCCTCCCCTTCTCATCCTGTCCTCTGCCAACAGCTGCAACCATGGGAAATGTGTAGCAACCGGGACCTCGTATGTGTGCAAGTGTGCAGAAGGCTACGGCGGGGCCACGTGTGACCGCAAGAATGACTCCAGCGCCTGCTCTGCCTTCAAGTGTCACCAGGGGCAGTGCCATTCCTCAGATCGAGGGGAGCCCTACTGCCTGTGCCAGCCTGGCTTCAGTGGGGAGCACTGCGAGCAAGGTGGGTCCACTGTGCGCAGGGGAGGGGCCGGAGAGGCCACGGGGGCAGAGGTGGGCTGCAGGATCTTGTGGCGTCGCTTTCTAAGCTTCAGTCCCTTCACCTTGAAAATGGGGGCAACACCCTCCCTCTCTGAAGCAGTTGTGCACTCTATGTAACTAATTAGCCCCGTACCACAGCGCAGCAAGGCCCTCCTTCCTCCCCCTTTCTCCCCTCCATGCCCTTGGCCCGTGTAGTGTGTTCAGTTTTTATTTTCCTGTATTTGAGCCTATTTCAAAATGAACTATATCAAAATTCAAATCTACCTCCCTTTGGAGGGTTTTTTACCCTGCATGGAAACGGAGAAGTCTTCCTCCCTCCGCCCAGATTCCAAGGCAGACCACCCTGTTGGTCTCTAAAGGACTTTCACATTTATACGTCATTGAAATACTGTTCTCAACCCAAACGGACCAGGTTTTAAAAATTTTTATTAAGTAATATATTTTGAAATAATTTGAGATTTAACAGAAAACTTGTCAGAAGATAAAGAGCGCTCACATTCCCTTCACCAGACTGCCCAGTGACCACGTTGCCACATCAGCTCTCGTCCCCTGTCCCACATTGTTACAAGATAGTGAGTGCCTGTGTGTACAATCTCATAATCTAAAGAAATTACATCATGCTTACCATAATTCATTAAAATGCATTCAGCCCTTTCTCATTCAGTCTTCTCTGAGGCTCGTAACCTGTGAAGCAGTAGGAAGAACAGGGAAATGGGTCACCATTTTCCAGACAAGGAAACCGGCTCAAGGATGGCCGATGTCTTCCTTCAGGCTGCAGGGCTGGGGATCTAAGCTCGTCATTCTCCTCAGGGCCTTGCTCTAGCCTTCTTCCCAATGTCACAGGGACAGTACGGCGGGGAGTGGAAGATTCAAGCAGCTATCAGGGTTCATTAATTCCTCATTCAGCTCTCCTCTCAAGCAGCATGTCCCAGAGACACACCCCTGGGCTGCATCAGGCGCTTCGCCCTGTTCTGTTCCTGTGTAGCCCCGGCCTCAGTTTATCCTTACAAACACATTCACTTTGGGGATTATAGAATTAGTATCTCAACTCTATACCAGTGGGGACTGGGCCAAACTGGACACTTCCTGGTTTTCAGCAAAGCCAGGAATCCCAGTATGTAATTGATCACCTGGGGTTTTTAATGGTGACATTTAATTTGGTTTCTAAGTATAGGTGGCACAATCAAGATTTGGGGACAGGATTTAGCCCACAGCCTAGTACTTGGCCACATCTAGTGTGCTGTTTGAGTTCCCTGAAGGGAAGGACGGGGCCTGCTTTTGTCACCATGCAATGCTCAGGACTTAGTTATAGATCTAGCAGCGAGGCTGGCGCAGAAAAGGCACTCCGTATTTGTGGGACAGCTGGATGGGTTAGTGGGCGGGCAGATGGAGGGACGCATGAAGAAGTACAAAGGGTCTTCACACCACACAAATATTTCCCAACAGCCTGCCCAGGAACGGACCCTGGCTGATCATCTGTACCACCCATGCCCTGACCTTACCTCTTCCGCCCTCTGCAGAGAACCCGTGCCGGGGGGAGGTTGTCCGAGAGGTGATCCACCGCCAGAAAGGTTACGCCTCGTGTGCCACGGCCTCCAGAGTGCCCATCATGGAGTGTCGTGGGGGCTGTGGGCCCCAGTGCTGCCAGCCCACCCGCAGCAAGCGGCGGAAATACGTCTTCCAGTGCACCGACGGCTCCTCGTTCGTGGAAGAGGTGGAAAGACACCTAGAGTGTGGCTGCCGCCAGTGTTCCTAAGGCCGTTGGCCCGCCTGCCCCCCACCTCTCAGACTCCAGCTTCGTGGGGCTGGGACAGCCATGTGGGACCCCCTCGAGATTCGAGGTGAAGAAGTAGAAGCTGGAGAGGAAGCAGAAGAAGAGAATATTAAGTATATTGTAAAATAAACAAAAAATAGAACTTATTTTTATTATGGAAAGTGACTATTTTCATCTTTTATTATATAAATATATCACACCGTCTGAGTATATGTACCATATAGTGAGTTATTTTTACCAAGTCTTGTGTATTTGTCACGTTTTTATAAACAGCTGTTAAAAATTTTAAGAAAAAAGACTAATAAAAATGTTTTAAAACAAAACGGTAAGAATAAAGAAGTGCTAGCCTGTCCGAGGAGGAAGAAGGACGTTTTTATGTTGATGAAACAGTATCGTGTCAGCAGAAACCAAGACCTGCTTACCGAGCTCAGGAAAAGGAATGATAAGAGGAAGAGAAGGAAAAGATTTTTCTTTGTTTCTTCTTATTTTTAATGACTCTTTTTCTCTTCCCTAAAAGCACCCAGCTTTCAAGCCCTGGTTGCCGAAGCCCGTCCTTCCAGGAAAAGCCGCCGCAGCCCCGCTGCCTCCACCTCACAGTCGCCGCCCCCACCTGCCCCGGGCCGCCAGCGGGGTCTGAACCTACTGCAGACCCCTCTTTTCCCTCCGGGCTGGCCCTGCCTGCCACTACAGGGCTGTTCGAAACTCTGCCACAGGCTTCATCTGAGCCTGCTTTGCCACATTTTAAAACACCTCCTCTTTCCCTGCCCCTCTCCAGGTGAGTCAGTGGAAGAAGGGTCAAGGCCATCTCCTCAGGCCCCAACCACCGGCACTTTCTCTCAAAGTTCTGACCCATCCTCTTCCCTCCAGCCCATTTCACACTGGAATGCAGTACTAGGAGAGCAGGCAGCCAGGGCTGCAGAGATGAGGAAGGCCAGGAACCCAGCCTGCCCATAGCCCCGGTAGAAGTCCAACTCTGGAAAGTTCTGGGAGGATCTTGCTATAGGACAAACAAGCCTCTGCCACCTGATCCTCCAGGCCACCCTCATAAGTTGTCATCACAACGCCTTGCTCATCTGCAACACTTTCCAACGCATATCTGTACTGTACCTGATTTTATCCATGTAATCCATGCTCCGTGCAATCCCTGCTCCCATAAGAAGGGTAAAGCCAGATGGCCCCATTTCACAGACAAGGAAACACGCTTCTCTCAAACTCTGTATCTTGCCTTAAGCCACATCTCTGATTAAGTAGAAGAGTAAGACTCAAAGCTCTAGATGCCTTTTCTAAAGAGCAGAAACGCAAGAGATTCAGGTTGTTCATAGGACAAGCCCTACCAGGAAAAGAAAGTAGATGTTCTTTACTATTTTTCCTGCTTGTGTTCAAGTCTTGTTCTGTTCCCCAGTATCCAGAAAGCTTCTAGACAGAGTTACATAGCAGGGAATGTGAGCAAAGGCAGCCTGCCTGAGGGAGACTTGCCCCTGTCTCTCAGCTCCCCTCAGCCAAGTACAGATGGCTCAGGGGCTCAGCTGCTCACACCAACTCCTTGTCTCTCACTCATCCCTCCTTTCCCTGGGAGCCTCCCCTGTGGAAGTGTCAGGCAGGAAAATGTGGGGCTCAGAGGACCTTCCAGCATGGAGGTTCCCCAGAGGAGCCTAGTGGTTCTGTGAGGACCAACAGTGGGCTAAAGATTCCAAGAATCAAGAAGGAGGCAGAAAAGGAAGATGGAAGAGCACAAGGCAAGGGGAAAATGAGGGAAGGAGGAAGGGAAAGAAGGGATAGGGAGGGAAGAACATAAGGAAGAGCGGGATGAAGAGAAGGAAGGAGGGAAAAGGAGGGAGAAATAAAATGGAAGAGTTTACTTAAAAATGTGTGTACTAATATACATTATGTTCCAGGTACTTAGTGTACTTATGGTGGATGTGTTTCTAATATTATTAACAGATAGATTCACTTAGTACTTACATTATACATCAGATACCATTCTAATTTATATATATTAGATATATACATATATTAAATATGTATATATATGTATGTTTGTATATACATATATATACATATTTAATTCTCAAAACCACCCTGTAGTAAAGACATTAGTAACCCATTTTACAGTTGAGAAAGTTGAGGCACAGAGGAGTTAAGGAATTTGCACAAAAACAGATGCCTAATAAATTATAGAGCCAGAATTTGGGCCCAGTTTGCCTAACTCCAGAAGTTACTCCTCATGGGAAGGAAACATCTGCCTTTGAGGATCCTACAGTCCAGGGCAAAAACAATCATGGGACAACAGCTTTATTATAGGAGTCCCCTCATGGCAGTATAAACAAGGGAAGTCACTGTCCAGACTAGGAAATCTCCAATCCTGGGTCTTCAGGGATGAACAGGAGTCTGCCGGGGCAGGGGTAAGAAAGGGAGTTGAACTTCCCAGGGAATGGCCTGTTAAAAAGCAGTGAAACAGGGAAAAGACCCAGTATGGGGAACACTCAAGAGGTCCAGGGTGGCAGGAGTGTGGGATGCACATTGGGGAGCAGAAATCAAGGGGGGCAGACATGAAGGCAAGGGTTCAACCAGTAAGAGCCATGTATGGCAGGCTAGAACACAGGGACCCTGCAGGGTTTTTAAGTAGGGGAATAATAGCAAGACAAGCTCTGATTTAGGAAGAGAACTGGTGGCAAAGATGACAAGGCTTCGAAGAGGAGAGAGCGCTCTGCCACCCAAAAAGGCTCTGGGGGCTTCCCAGTTGTTCACTTGAGTTTGTTGGAGCTAAACAATGCCAATTTCCAGATAGGTCCCAAAAGTCTTTGTGGTAGCTCCGAAGTTCTCTCCTGAAAGGGGTCTTCCTGAGATCTGTCCCATACCCTTCCCCATCCCTCGTGCCGTCAGCCCACCTCGCCCACACAGGTAAACCCTAGGCTTATTCTACCGCCAACACTCCCAGCTAGCCACTCTCCACATAACAGGAAGCCCACTCGGCCTACCATCTTGAGAGCTGCGCAACCAGGGTCACGGACCTCTGGGAAGACTTGCCAGGCTACCAGCTTTCCCTTGGCCTCCCCCACAGAATCCAAGGCCTGCCTCTGCCAACCATGCCCTGTGCCCACTTCCGAACCCAGCTGCAATCAGCCAGCACAGCCAAAAGGACCAGGTCCTTAATGTAGCTTGAGGGTGATTGTGAGCCTTCCCCTCAATTTTGGAAGCCCTGACTTTATGAAATGCCTAATGCAAGATTAAGAAAATTCTCCCCAAAAGGAAGTTTCTCTAACAAACGCAGATTAAAACGCTCTTATTTCAACAGCCAAATTCTAGAAACAAAGTCTCCCAGGGCAGGAAGAGTTCAGTCAGGTAACTTGCATGCTTCAAAGTATGGGTCCATGTTTGCGTGTGGGGACCGGCATATGTGAAAGGGGGCTTGGGCTCAGTTCCCCCTGAGCAGGATTCAGGGGAAGGGAGAACCCCTTTGACTCAACCAAGGGACCCTAAAATGGCTGATGAGATGATGTATTTAAAAGCTCTTTGTAAAGTGTAAACTAACAACCTTTAATGTAAGCTGTTACGACTATCGTTGTTGCCGTGACTGACATGCCAACAGGCCCATGTAGAAGATGGCTTTGCCTTTTCAATTTCAGAAGAGAACCTGAGTCTGATACTTCAGAAAAAGGACGGGACAAGGAAAAGAGGGGCAAGGAAAGAGAGGGAGATTTCCTAGGGCCAGAGAAAGAGGGGAAATCCCCCAGAATGACCCTTCAGAACCCAGGAGCAGCCAGGAGGGTGATGGAGCTAACCTCGCTTTCCACCAGGTACAAAGCTACCATCAGATTGAACCCTATGGCCAAGCAGCCACCCGTCGCCTTTGCTGGGAGGAGAAGCCCCTAGCCTAAGTGGACCTGCCCCTCAAAACTCACAGGGCCTCAGGTATCAGAGCTGAAGGAACCTGAGAGAATCCCTGGTGAGGGATAAACCTGAGAATCAGAGAAAGGGAGTGTCTAAACCAGAGACCAAGGTCATCCAACAAATTAACACCAGAGGCAGGAACAGACCCAGGGGTCTACCCAGGACATCTTTCTTCCTGCTACTCCACTGTGAGCATCCAGGAAGAGTGAAAGTTGAGACAGACCCTATGATACCTTCTAGGTGGCCAGAAAAGTATCCCCCCCCCCTTCCCCCACAGTGCACTCGGATGGCTGGGAAGCTGGGGCAGTGCCTGGTTTGGTGGCACTTACCCTTATGTTCTAGTCAGGATCAGACTGTGCTAAAGGAAACGCTTGGGGAAAGTGGGTGCAAGATGCCAGTTAGCCAGAACAAGCAAAGACAGAATTGGGCATTTGGCAAAGCCTATTTCTCTAACTCAACAAGAGGTTCTAAGAAAAAACTTCTAAGATGGTTTTTAAAAGTGTTACAGTGCCACTTCACCATTATGGGATAAATAATGTGCATTTTTTGATTCAACAGACTGTCATTATCTGATATCATTAAAATGAGTCACAGGAGAGCTATCAGATGTTCCTGTGAATACCATAAACTCAGCCTTACTCCCTGGTGTGTGTTTTATTTTTATTCCTGACTTTCACTCCCTGGGGCAAAGATTACTTCATTCATGGGGTTTGGACAAGTCTGGTGTGGAGTCAGTAAAAACTACTGGTTTCTTGAAACATGAAGTGAGGGGGAAAAAAGGATCAAGAGTTCCTGAGAGACATGGGAGAGAAAGCCCAACACAAGGCTTGAGGTCTGCAGGGTGTGTGATTTGTATGGTCACAGACTGGGTGCCAAGGATCATGGGGGAAGAAGCCACTCAGGGTAGAGAACACTTAGTAAGATGTGGAGGAAGATTGGTCCTGGTTAATTAAACCCCATCTTTTATTCATTCCTTCCCAAGCATTTATTGAACATTTACTATGAGCCAGGTCCTGGTCTAGGCATTGAGGACAACACAAAGATGATCAAGACAAAGTCTTTGTTCTTTTGGAACTTAACTTTTGAGTGTCAATTAAAAAAAAAAAAGGAGAGGTGACATGACCGAATAGCTGGTGGGTACTTTCCACGGTGAAGTCAAGGAGAGCTTCTCTGAAGAACTGGGACATGGGGGCGGTGAAGTACCAAGAAATGGGAAGGAGGAAGCCTGATCCCACAGCACTCACTAGATAACTGCCCCCACGCAGGTGACATCTGAGAGAGGTAGAGAGCCCAAGCATCTTAGGAGTCCAGAGGGGATGACATGGGCAAGCGAGCACGATGAGTGGGCTTGCAGGCGAGGGTGAGGGCAGAACTCCCCCCTCAGCTTCCCAGCCCTGAGGCATCCTTGGGAGTTCATGGCCTTTCTAAATGAAGAATGCCATGGGTCTGGAGGCCACCGCCAGCTGATTAAAGGTCACTTTTGCTTCCCAGCAGATAGCCCTGTATCTCAATGAAGAGCACCACTGGGAGCAAGATAATGGTGGGCAGCAGATGCACCAAGTGTTGGAAAAGGGCCCAGCCTGTCATTCCTTCTCCCCCTGGTATTTCCTGAGCAAGACAGGGCCACATAGGCCGGGTGCACTGAGTCTCCATCAAGATGCCCTTAATATTAGCTTCAAAGCTGTGAGCGTGAAAGAATCTGAAATGGAAGGGGGGAGTAGATTTTGTGCTGACACATCCTATACCAGGCTGCCTGGGCATCCCTGCCAGGAGAAGGTGCTGGCCAGGAACCAACAGCCTCCACTTTCCAAGCTTAGACCAAGTAGCCCCTCCTCCCAGGTTTGGGACCTATAGTTCTGATGATCCCTGTCAAATTCCCTTTTTCGTCAATTGCAGAGCTCCTCAACTGGGAGAGACTTTGCGACCAAAGGAGACATTTGGCAATGTCTAAAGACACTTCTGATTGTATGACTAGGGCAGGGGAGCTCCTGGCATCTAGTGGGAGGCCCAGGGATGCTGCTAAATACCCGACAATGCGCAGGACAGCCTCCACAACAGAGAACTATCCCGCCAAGGGATCAGTAGTCTTAAGATTGAGAAATCCTATCTGGGACTAATCAGATCCTTCCTATAAGACCTGAACGGAATCATTTACAAAGGAAGAAGGGGGTGAAAGTGCTCAATAGGTAACAAATAATGGCCTCCTCAGGGGGGCTGGGTCCCTTGGTGAGAATACATGGCAGGGTGGCGGTCTATACTTGTATTTAGAACACAATTGTTGATGGGAAATGGACCGAGACATTTCTGGCAATGAGGTGCCACCATCATCCTTCCTTTGCTACTCTGCGCTTACTACCCAGGCATGGCAAATGGGTGCAGAACAATGGATCATGCACTTATTACGCTTAGGTGACACATATAAAATATGGTGGAGCGGGGGGCATTCATCTTTGGACCTGCTACTGGCAGAAAAATAAGTAATAGGATTAATAAAAATGTTGTTTCTATTTCCTGGAACTCTAGCCCTCAGGTAGGCCCCAGCAGGAAGACCAGTGAGAAAGTTATCAAATCAAGACATGAGGACTGTGGCTGTGTCTGTGGAATGGCAGAGGTGAGTGAATAAAGTATAGGTCAAAAGGCTTCAGCAGCCCAAGCTCTAAGATGGGGCAAGAGACGTTGGGCCAACTCCCAATAATGATGGCAGGATTAACTCATCAGAGTAACCTTGCTCACTCACAGTGATCTTAGAAATTGCTGCAGGGATAGGAGAGGCTCTCAGCACCTGACTAGAACTCTGTAAATAGACCTTGTACATGTCCATGTTTGCACGGGTGGTAGAGGTGAGGCAAGCCATGAGAGTAGGACGGGGGGAAGGTCTGAGTGATAAGTGAGCAGGCCTCCATCTGGCTCAGCTCCACTGGCCCTAAAGAGTTCCACATCCTCTCCCCTATCCAGCTGTTTGACTTTGGCAATATCACTGTGAGATTCAGTTTCCCCTTCTAAAAATCAAGGATGGCAGTACTTCACATAAAGCTCTGAAGATTACAAGTGGCAAAAAGCAATTCAAATTAACTTAAGCCACAAAAGGAGTATGTTGGCTCAAGTCATTGGAAAAATCTAAGATAGTTCTCACTGCATCAGACAGAGATGCGAATATGCATCTCTGGTCCTACGGGTTCTGGGTCTCTCGTGTATGCTTGGCTTTCTTCTGCATGGGCTTCATCCTCAAGAAAGCCTTCCTGAGGAGTTGGCAAAGTGACTCTCAGCCACTGCTCAAATGAAAGCAATACATACCACTAATTTCAAGTCCAGGAGAAAAGGGCTTCTCTTTTCCGATAATTCCAAGACACAGCCCAGCAGAGTCACAGCTTCTGACCAGCCTGGATTCAGGCAAATATCCATCACTGAACCAGACATTATGGGCAAAGAATAAGAGTCATTGGATTGGCCAAGCCTGTATCACATGACCATCCCTCGAGCCAGAAACAGGTAGTCCAAGGTGAGGACAAGTGTTTCCCCCAGGAAAATAAGTAATAGATGCTGGGTGGGCAAAAATGGCAAATAGTAACTGCTCACTACAAGGAATTATTTAGAAAACTATTTAGGGGCGCCTGGGTGACTCAGTCGGTTAAGCGTTTGCCTTCGGCTCAGGTCATGATCCCAGGGTCCTGGGATCGAGCCCCGTGTCGGGCTCCCTGCTCAGCGGGGAGCCTGCTTCTCTTCTCCCTCTCCCTGTTCCTCTGCTGCTGGCCCTGCTTGTGCGCTCTCTCGTGCGCTGTCAAATAAATAAATAGAATCTTCAAAAAAAAAAGAAAATTTAGAAATTTATTTCAAATATTAATTATTTAGAGGGTGCCTGGGTGGCTCAGTCAGTTAAGCATCTGCCTTCAGCTCAAGTCATGATCTTGGGGTTCCGGGCTCCCTGCTCAGTGCAGACTGCTTCTCCCTCTGCCTTTGCCCCCCCCCCCCCGCTCTCTTGCTCTAATAAATAAAATCTTTAAAAAATAAAAGAATTATCTAGAAAATTATTTCTTTAAGATTTATTTATTTGACAGCACAAGCAGGGGGAGCGGAAGGCAGAAGGAGAGGGAGAAGCAGGCTCCACGCTCATCCTGAGCTCTCCTGAGCTCATCTCTTCCCACAGACACAACAAATCTACAACCACATATGTAACAGTTTCTACCAAAAGAAACCCAAAAACTAGTTGACCCACTCATTCACAACAGGTGAACAAGAAAAACCCACATCAAAACACATAAGGAAAAGCCTAGACACAATCTCATCATAAATGCCACCCCCTGGCACAGAGACCCACAATCAGAAGCAAACTAATAACCCTGAGCTTCTCACTGAGGAGAAGGGTTTGAATCCCACATCTGGCACCTCAATTTTTAAGACCTGCGCTTGAAAGGTGAGCCCCCAAAACATCCAGCTTTAAAAACAAACAGGGCTTGGGCGCCTGGGTGGCTCAGTTGGTTAAACGACTGCCTTTGGCTCAGGTCATGATTCTGGAGTCCCGGGATCGAGTCCCGCATCGGGCTCCCTGCTCGGCGGGGGGTCTGCTTCTCCCTCTGCCCTCTTCCCTCTTGTGCTCTCTGTCTCTCATTCTCTCTCTCTCAAATAAATAAATAAATAAATAATCTTTTAAAAAAAAATAAATAAAAACAAACAGGGCTTGCATCCCTGAGACCCACAAAGCTATAGCAAACTGAGAAACAGTTCTTAAAGGGCTCACGCCTACAGACTCACCCACCCCAGAACACAGCACAGAGGCAGGAAAGCGACAAGTATTTCTGTATATGAGGCTTATCTTAAAGCACCCACCTAAAGGGCAGGCATCTGATTCAACACACACAGGGTCCTACTGATATACTCACCAAAGACGGAGGCAGGAGGTGCCGTCTTTGCCCTTTCCCTCTGCCTGCACCCTGGTCACCAGGGTCCACTGGAAAGGAGCTTGTGCACCCACCTGGCACCCCAGTTTTAGTGCTGCCACTCAGGGAACAATTCTTGACCGCCTGACTCTGATGGCCAGTGGGGCTTATGCTCATGGGTAAAGAGCTCTTCACTGGCGACACCCCAGGGTACAGTGGGGAAAGAAGCCAATTACTTTATAGCTTTAGACTCTGGGACAAGCCAATTACTTTATAGCTTTAGACTCTGGGACAAGAGTCTAATTAAACACACAGCTAAGGGCTGACTACAATCCCCTACAGAAACCCTGGAGGGCAGGTGCTATCTTCACACCCTCCCCAGTGTACTTCAGACCACCAGTGTCTCCCAGGAAGAAGCTTGTGCCCATGTCAGGTGCCCTGATATTTTTGTGGCTGCCGCCCAGGGCATGACCCTTGATCGTCTGGCTCAGGTGGCCGGCAGAGCTGATGTTCGCAGGTCCTCACTGTCAAAGTGCTGAAAGTAAAAAACCGCCAACAAGGTGCCCTGTTGAGGGTAGAGATTACTTAGGTAAATAACATTGTTTTTTTTTTTAAAAAACTGCCAACCAAGAATACTCTACATGGCAAAGTTGTTCTTCGGAACTGGAGAAATAAAGTTTTCCAGGCAAGCAAAAGCTAAAAGGAATTCACTACCACTAGACTGACTTTACAAAAAATGTTAAAGAGACTCTTTAAGTG